ATCGGGATTAGGGTTAGGGGGCGCAAATCCACGGGTTTAGGGGGCGCAAATTACTTGCCTTGCCCCGGGTGCTGACAACCCACGCTACGCCACTGGGGTGCATGTTACCAAACAGGCTTCTCCTACACAAAAGCCATCTGTCAGGGTTGGAGCTAGGAGTAGGTCAGCAATGAAACAATAAATCTACTGAGGCCAGTGAAGTCAACTCTTTATTGAAGGAAACAAACCACAGCCTAGGCCTAGTAGTCTCAGCAACTCTTTCCAGGAGGTCAAGGATGATGGGAGTTGTGGTCCAGCAATATCTGGAGTGTGCCAGGTTAGCTATCCCCCCCCCCCTTCTCTTCTTTTTCCAGCAGTTTGGTCCCTGATCTGTTACATGAGCTGTGTATGTGTTTTTGCTTTACAGTTGTCCCTGAAAAAGAGTCTGATGACTGAAATCTTTTAGGCCTTTGAGGTCTCTTCTTCAGCAGTTCTTCCAGTGCACTTCTGCTGTGCTGTGATGCACTGCAACAAAACAAAACACTCAGGAAGAAGATAAGCAGAAGAAACCAATTTTACTCTGATGTAATGAAAAAATTGCTTCATCTCATTTGGAAGCAACAGAGTAGGGAGAAACAAACAGCTGGACATGTTTGTACAAGAGAATATATGAAGAGGTGTCAGTTATTCTTTTGAACGGAGCAATGTTAAAGGCTTCAATGTTTTGAATTTTTTCCTTCTTGCAGAGCAATGGAAATGCAGTAGAGCTGCAGTCCCACTGCATTCAAGGGGAATGAAGCTATTCAAATGCTATAGTTTTGTTTCCATGTAAGTTAATGTGACCACGTTGAGGCTAGAATTGAGAGGCTGGTGTCCAACTAAGTCCTACTTACAGTAGACCAATTGAACTTCAGTCTATTATTTCAGCAGGTCTACTCTAAGTATGATTTGGCTGTGTACCAACCAAAGAACATTGTCTTCTACGCATTTATCTGAGAGTGAGTCCCATTGAACTCAGTGCTGCTTACTTTTGAGTAGACATGTATAGGATTGGCTTGAAAGGAATATGCTATTGTCAAATGTTCCATGGGTAATTGTATCCAAGCCATATTCATTTGGTTTCTCTTCTCAATCTATAATATGCAAATAATAACTGCATTTTTGTTGTTGTTTAGTCGTTTAGTCGTGTCCGACTCTTCGTGACCCTATGGACCAGATAACGCCAGGCCCTCCTGTCTTCCATTGTCTCCCGCAGTTTGGTCAGACTCATGCTTGTAGCTTCGAGAACACTGTCCAACCATCTCGTCCTCTGTCGTCCCCTTCTCCTTGTGCCCTCCATCTTTCCCAACATCAGGGTCTTTTCCAGGGAGTCTCCTCTTCTCATGAGGTGGCCAAAGTATTGGAGCCTCAGCTTCACGATCTGTCGTTCCAGTGAGCACTCAGAGCTGATTTGCTTACGAATGGATAGGTTTGATCTTCTTGCAGTCCATGGGACTCTCCTCCAGCACCATAATTCAAAAGCATCAATTCTTCAGCGATCAGCCTTCTTTATGGTTCAGCTCTCACTTCCATACATAACTGCATTTTACAAAGCTGTTAATCAGACACATTGGTGATTCAAGCCCACCTGGAGACAGCTGTGGGCAGGATTCCTGCACTGCAGGGAGTTAGTCTAGATGACTCCACCCAATACCCTCAATTAACCTTTTGAGATACAATCGTACCATGGTTTCCGAACAGCTTATTTCTCAAACGTTTTGGCTCCTGAACATCGCAAACCCGGAAGTGAGTGTTCTAGTTTGCAAACTATTTTTGGAAGCCGAACATCCGACGGGGCTTCCGCGGCTTCATATTGGCTGCAGGAGCTTCCTGCAGCCAATCAGAAGCTGCGTTTTGGTTTTGGAAGTCGAACAGACCTCCGGAACGGATTCCGTTCAACTTCCAAGGTACGACTGTACATGGCTGGAATGAATTTGTGTGGAAATATGCCCTCTGTTTGAGACATGAAATCTGATTCAATATTAGAAGACAATGCCAGAACCTGACCCTTTATAATTGGCAAGCAACCACACACACACAAACAAGCTCACTCCCCCACCCCTTTAAACTCCTAGCCTATTTTTTGTTTTGTTTGTATTTGCCTCTGAAACGGTTGCCAGAAAAGTCTTGTGTAAGATCCAGAATTCTGGAACTGAGGATATTGGGCTGTTTGGAGAGGTTGGCAGTTTTCCCAGTAAAAGTCAACAGCATGCTTTTCACATGCTTTGTTATCCTCCTAAGGATGTGACTCAGAAATAAACCTCGATTTTAATGGAATGTACTTCCCATTGGTGATTTGCACCACAATGCTGCAATTCTAAATGTGCTTTTAACGCATAAACTTGGTTGAACCTAGTAATAATCATTCCTGAGTAAACATGCAACGGACTGCACTGACAGGGAATGTGGCTGAATTTGTAACATGTGAGTTTAGGGTGGCCAAGTTAAAAAGAAAAAAGAAATGACAGGTGTCCTCTACATAATTGTTCAGGACACCCTATACCTGCTGAATCCCCTCTTCTACACAGCTATTAAAGGCGCAAGAGCAAATTCCTTATTTTTTACCCTGGCCATCCTACATACACATGAGCTTAGAGGACAGCGTTGCTGTGTTCAGCCCTATCTTACAAATTCATGTATATTCTTCATAGCATGGTGAATGACAGGAATAAAAAATGGCCTCTTGCACCTTTCATTGCTTAGCTCTGCACTAGAACTTAAGCAGAGCCTCAGATCACAATGGATCACATTATCCACCAGTTTGAACCCTAAAAGCAAACAGAAGCTTTTGCAATTTAGCTTTTGTCCAACTGGACAAGATAGCTGAGATTCCATACCTTAGGCATAGCCATCAGGGGCACTTGCTTTATAAAGCTTAATGATTAATTCAGGTTAACTAGCTGAGTTGTACTGATAGTTTTATTGCTGTGTTGGCATCAGTCTGTCTCAAGAGACAAAGGTGAAGTCAAACGGCTGGAGAATCACAGCACTTGCTGTGGCTGCCGAAACTGGTAACTCTTAACTGCTGCCTACAATGTTGTTTTTGCTGTATTAGCGGCACTGAAGAGACCTCCTGGGCCGCAAACCTGGGCAGTGTGTATGGAGGTCCTGGGCTGCTCATACAACAAGACCCCCCTTGGCCTCACTGATATGGCCCAAAGGAAAGCAGAGCAATACATTTGGCACCAGTTTGGCTGCAGGAATTGCCAGAAGGAAGTGGACAATACACCATTCAATCATCTTAGGGGCTACACTCTCGATTTATGTAGGGTTTACTCCTTAGCCTTTTCTTCTCCTGTGCAAGGCAGCAGGTATGGGTTTTTCCTTGGGGTCTTTCTCATGAATGAGTATAGCCAGAAGGCAGTGGAGGTTTAGGATCAGTGTTTTCCTTCTCCAAGATGGAATGGAATACCTTCCCAGATTGATAAGCCCCCTCTTCCCCTCATTTCCCTCTACGGCCCGTGCAGTAACCACATTCTTGACCATTGAACATATTATTGGTTTCATTGGCTCAATCCACTGGAGCCTGTCTTTGCATGCAGGCGAAGACCCTAACTCACAGAGGGTTTGAGACTCATTGGCTACTTTCCTTTGGTTTAGCCAGCCAGTTGAAGCTATTTCCCGGGGTGTGGCCACTGTCACATGCTGACAGCTTCTAGGAGCTGAGTGTAGGGTGGAGACCTAAGTTAGACAAACAACCCTAGAAGGAGCACAACATGTCCCCTACCAGAGGTACTGCCCATCCCCTAAAACTCCATGTACGCAATTACTACTGATAGCATAAACAGAGAAAAGCTGCCGCCCCATGTTTCTGAAAAGTGTGTGTGTGGGGGGGGGGGGAGAGTTAGCATTAGCAGGCCTCCAGGTTGCTTCCCCTGGCCTTTGCTTAAAATGGTGCTGATCTTAAATGAGATAATAATGTGAGCCAAATTAGCTCTGGTGACGTTCTGCATGAAGCAAGAGAAAGCCTGCTCAGCACTAACTCTAATAGCTCATATGGGGTGTTGGGTGCATATTCCTGTAAAACCTTTTTCTCATCTATTTTGAGCTCTCTGGCCTCCTTTCATGAATTAAGCAGGCAATAACTCATCCTCAACGAACTATAGATAACTTTATAGGTTTACCTACACACTAACAACATGAGATCAATGCTGTCTAAATAGTGTTCTTCAGGAGAAACTGCAGGATAAATTGCTTTGAAAATCGCTAGAGCCTGGTATGAAATTAGGTCACCCTGTTCCCTGAGGCTCAGATTCGGAGAATCATCATTGGAGCCTGGGAACACCAGCATCCCAGGGTGGATCAACCAATCTATTAATAAATCCAAGGGCATATCCTGGTTAATATGTTTGGAATATTGCAGCTATTGGGTCAGGGAGCAGAGTCTGGTGGCTCAGGATAGAGCCTTATGAACATGGGGACACAGATATAGCAAAAAAATCTCCAAGCCAAACAGAAACTATTCTATCCTCAAAGTCCCCAACTAAGCTTTTCCTTCTTCCTCTAGAAGTAAGATGAAAGAGGCTAAAGCCCTGAAATTTCAGGTTACATCCTCAGACCTGTCAACCCTATGTAAAACTGCTGGATGAAGCTGATAATCTAGATTTATTTCAGTCTGGGTTCAGCACAGAAATTGGTTTAGCTGCTCTGATGGATGATTTATACCAGGAGAGAAAGATGAGGCACGTGGCCCTGAAATTTCTCCTTGGTCTCTCATCAGCTGCACTCCTTCTTGATAAATTGGCTGGTTTGGGAACTAGAAATACAGTGGTACCTTGGTATATGAACTTAATCCGTTCCGGAAGTCCGTTCTTAAACCGAAACCATTCTTAAACTGAGGTGCGCTTTCCCTAATGAGGCCTCCCGCCGCCGGTGCCCTTCTACCGTTCAGATTCCATTCTTAGACGGAGGTAAAGTTCTCAAACCAAGACACTATTTCCAGTTTTGCGGAGTTTGTAAACCAAATGGTTCTTAAAGTGGACTGTTCTTAAACCAAGATACCACTGTACTGTCTTCAGTGGTTCTATTCCTGCTTCCTTGTCCAGTTTCAGAAAGTGGTAATGTGCTCAATCTCTTGCTATGAAGTTCCATGGGATTCTATTTTTGTTTGCCACGCTTTTCAATATTTACATGAAGCTATTGGAAGAGGTCAGAAATCTTAATGAGGTGTCATCAATATGCAGATTATATCCAGTTCCATGTCTCATTTGCAATGGAGCCACTAATAGGCTGGTTGAGGGCCAATAAACTGAAACTCAATCCAGATAAAAAGAAGGCTACATTGGCAGATTATTCATTTGACCAGGAAGGAAGGTTGAACCCATTATTAATGGGATTACAGACACATTGCCCCTGAAAGATTAATGCCTCTGGCATTCCAGGTAGAACACATACACATACATAGGCATGCACTTGTAAGGCAATGTTGCTGCGTTCAGCCCTAACAGATAGCTGCACCTGTTTCCTTTGCAACCATACTCCAACACCCACCCAATCTGATTCTTGGGTGGAGGGAGGCATGGCGAATGATAAGAACAGAGATCAGCCTCTTGCACCTTACATTGCTTAGCTCGTTCACACTGCACTAGAACTTAAGCAGAGCCTTGGATTACAATGGATCGTTTATCCGCCAACTTGAACCCTAAAAGCAAACAGAATGCTTTTGCAATTAGCTCTTGTCTGATTCAGTGGCTGAGATTCCATACCTTAGGCATAGCCACCAAGATCCCTTGTTTTATAAAGGCTGGTGGATTAACTCAGGTTAATCAGCTGAGCTGTAGTGATATTATTTATAGCATAATCGGTAAAATGCTGATCTCCACCCTGTGTTTTGTTTTTCATTTGTTTGCTCACTTTGGAAGTGGTGCTGCACTTCATTCCAGCCTGTTGAAATATGATATCTAAGGCGTCCCCGCCTATTTGTTTCATATATAGCCTTATTACAAGATTGGATACGAGCTGCATCCTGCCATACTTCAACCAAGAGACCCAGAAGCTGCTTCCAGGGAATTCATACTGAGCAAAATGCAACTCGCCTTGCCTGGACTGGGGTTAAACCTTTACCTGTTTTTTTATGCAGCTGCTACCTTCTGTCTGGTCAGCGTGCTCCTGAAAGTCATCCGGCTATACCAAAGGAGGCAAAAGCTGATCAGATCTTTGGAGAGCTTCCCAGGGCCACCGAAGCATTGGTTTTATGGACACACCAATGAGGTAGGACTTCTTCATCCCATCTAGTAGAACTCAGAAAAAAAGTGAGTGATTGTAATGTTTTGTGTCAAATAAATGTAGTGCTGTTGCCATTGCTGGTACATCAGACTTTTCCTGAGCAACTACAATGCGGGTGGCAAAGGGCAAAGTAGACATTATGGTGCCATGACCTATGTGTTAGAATGTGAACTAGATTCCTATAAAGCAGGATGTAATTTCACGTACAGAGAAGCAGACATGAGATGAATGCTAGAAGTGCCTATCTGTACTTTACCCAAGAAGCTGCTTGTCCCTAGCCATGGTGCTGTCGCCTTCTGGTTCAGCACCCACTTCCTATTCAACCCACCCATACACTACCTGAAATCAGCCATTTCTCACATTATAGGAATTTGGTGATTTGATGCTAACACAGGGATATGTCGCCATGACCCTGAGGTTGCTTCCAGGCTGTTGTACTAGGTTTAGGTTTACGGACTTGGGTAGCACTGTGGGTTAAACCACAGAGCCTAGGACTTGCCAATCAGAAGGTCGGCGGTTCGAATCCCCGTGACGGGGTGAGCTCCCGTTGCTCGGTCCTAGCTCCTGCCAACCTAGCAGTTTGAAAGCACGTCAAAGTGCAAGTAGATAAATAGGTACCGCTCCGGCAGAAAGGTAAATGGCGTTTCTGTGCGCTGCTCTGGTTTGCCAGAAGCGGCTTTAGTCATGCTAGCCACATGACCTGGAAGCTGTACGCCGGCTCCCTTGGCCAATAAAGCGAGATGAGCGCCGCAACCCCAGAGGCAGTCACGACTGGACCTGATGGTCAGGGGTCTCTTTACCTTTACCTTTACTAGGTTTAGGACAGAAACTTAAATGGGGTACAAATTACAGGATGAAGGGGATAGTTTTGGAAGGTATCTGATAAGCCTGCTATGAAGCAGCCCAATGCTTATTGTGGAGTGAGAGATCCCCGATGGCCTGGGGACTTTGTGCTTTAAATCAGGCTTGAAATGTTTTTGAGTCTCCAAGGAAATGGAGCCCTGGTCATGGAGATCTATGTTATGCAGTAGCCCAAAACTTGTTTAGGGGTCTAAGAGCGTATGTACTTCTTTGTTCTGATTGCTCATGCGGATCTGCATGAGATACAGAGCTGGAAATTAGGAATCAGCTTCATCTCATGCCTGATCAAAGACTTTGGAAAACTAAAAAACTTGTTTGTTACTTCATGATATTTTAGGTGGATATAGGCTGGGTAGAATTGGTTATACCAGTGTAAAGCTTCTGAGACCATCTTTATATGTAATGTTTATCAGGCTGCCTTAGGACCCTGAGATAGCCTGGACAGCGGGAAGCCCACACCTAGTTGATTATAATAGCATTGATTTGATTTTTGTCCCCAATTGCCACAGCTCGGTCGAATTGGAGAACTTACCACAATGGTGTCCTGGTCGGAGAGATATCCCAAGGGTCATTCCTTGTGGTTTGGAGCTTTCTTGGGGTTTCTCAATATCTACCATCCAGATTACGCCAAGGCTGTATACAGCAGAGGAGGTAACGAAATGGCCCATTTTAAGGCAATATCTGTACATCTTCTATCTGTACACTCAGTGTCATTTGGTAGCTAAGTTCTATTGATGGGGGACCTGTGGCTCTGCAGATGTTCTTGGACTTCTGTTGCCATCAGCCCCAGTCAACATTCCAATGGTCAGGGATGATGGGAGTTGTAGTCCAGCATCTGGAGTAGCCCAGGTTTCTCATCACAGTTATGTTGTAAGAGCTTAGCTGTAGAAACATCGGAAGCTGCTTATACTGAGTAAGACCATTGGCGCATCTAGCTCAGGATTGTCTACATCGACTATTAGTGGTTCTCCAGGGTCTCAGACTTGGGTCTCTCTCAATCCTAACTGGAGATGCCAAGGATTGAACATGGGACCTTCTGCATGTGAAGCAGATGCCCCACCATTGAGCTTTTACCCTTCCCTTAGGTATGCCTGCACTCATCACTCCCCTCTGAAGTTGTCCCCTTTAGGCCAGTAGCCTGACTGACTCGTTTTTCTATTTGGCAAACTAAACTAAACCAAACCAAACCAAACCAAACCAAACCAACAACTAAATTGTAAACCAAACAAAACCAAATAAAACAAAACCAACAGCCATTTTAGCCCAGGAAACCCAGGAAGGTGCAAAAAGTATTGCAAGTATCACTATAGAATTATATGTGATATAGCAAACATTAACTTGTCTTACAAATGCTAATCGATTGAGAGGGAAATTACCTCTGAGACACATGGCGCTGAAGCTCCAGAAAGAGCTCATTGTTCAGGGGAATCCATAACCATGTCACTTCTTTGAATCATTCTGAGTGTTAGTCTCTGTGTTTTGCACTTACTATCATATTTTCTCATACCATTTTGCAGGTTTTTACTTGTTAAACTTGCCTTAAACTTGCAGCAAGCCCAACCTTACCTGAAAGGCATATTATTTTATAATAAAAGAAGAGTAGGCCTGACACTCTTCTATTGCAACCCTTTAATTTGTTCTATTGGCATCGATGCTGAGTCTTCTTTTGCCCTTCCTTCCTGGTCTAGGTCAATGGTAGAACTACCAAGTATTCCTGCCAGCCTATGGTTATGAAAAGCCACATACCCAACACAGCTCAGCAGGAAAGGTTGATTAGGATTGTACAGATAGTGTAATCAGGAACAGAAATCCAGACCTTGAAGCTGAAAAGCTACAATTCCATTTTAGTCATTACAGAGGCAATGTAAATGCCTATAGTTAAAAAACACCTGCCCATAGGGTGTCAGCCACAACAGGAAAAATATTTACGGATCAGCAAGGGCTTATGACAACCAAATGCGACATCTTCAGCAGAGGAGGGGTGATGACCAGCCCTTCATTTTCCAGGTGGAAACAAGCCAGAGATCAGCCCAAGGCAAAGCTTCATCCTTGGAACAGGCACCAGTCTGATCATAGAATCATAGAGTTGGAAGGGACCCTGAGGATCATCTAGTCCAACCCCTGCAATGCAGGAATATGCAGCTGTCCCATATGGGGACTGAACCTGCAACCTTGGCCTTATCAGCACCACGTTCTAACCAGCTGAGCTATCCATCCTGCTGCCTATTTATTGTTCAGTGAGTTCTTGTTTAAAGCTCTGTCTACAGTTAGCACAGTTAGAGCTAACTGTGTCTGATGGTTCCCATCTGCTTTTCTCCCCCCCCCTTCTCCATATGCAATAATTTTTTCTCTCTTGCGCTTGCAAAACAAATGATTGATGGTCCCAGTGTGCCCTTACATTCTTTCTTTGTTTACACACACTATAGTTGCTACATAAATACCACGTGGAAAATGTTTTTCTTAAGCATCTGGCTAGAAGTGGAAAATCTCTCTAAAACATGGAACAAAGCCATGATCTTAACTTATCATACTGAAACATCAGTTTGCCTGGCTTAAATATCATCCTGTCATTCTCCTGATATTTCCCCCTGTTGATGGCACTTTGTCCTTTTCTTAAGGTTCCTTCCAGGTCATACCAATGCCGTGTGGCCTTTTTAGGTTTGACTTGTTGGCATCTAATCAAGGTGTAACTTGCATATTCCACCATTCTCTACCTCCATGCTAGCTAAAAGCATAATAGTTTACACAGATTCAGAGCAAGCGCTTCACTCATATCAGGCCAGGTTGACTAGGCCTTCAGTGGGTTTGGCTAGAGCAACAGAAGACTGATGTTTTATGTGGTTGGTATGCTTCTTGTATCTGCTATATCGCTCAGTAAAATCAGTGCCAGTTCTGGGTTTTGTGGGAACCCTTGGGCTTTGCTCCCTGAGTGTGCCCACCTGCTCTTCCTTTTCAGTACTGTCCTCTCACTTCCCTGTGCTTCTGGGCTCAGTTGGCACCATCTTCCAGAGAAAGAGAACACAAGGCATGTTTCTTGTGCTTAATCCTAAACTGCTTGTTTGCAGATATCAAATGATCAGGCAGTAATAGCAAGGAGGAGGAGGAGGAGGAAGAAGTAGAGATGGCCAAGAGGCTCCAGGAATTGGCAGTGGGCCTTTTACTGGGGTGTGAGTTCTCCAGTGATACCAACTGCTGCCTCTGGCCCTGAGTAGAAAGCTAATACTTTGTGTGCTTGGAAAATGTTTGGCAGACCACTTCAACAGCTTTTGAAAGAAAGCTTTATAATAAGGTTTTCTGAGAAGAAACCTGACTCTGTTATGAAGTGGTGTGATAACAGAAGGATTCCAATCCACTACTTTAGCTGAAGGTCACTTCAGCTCTTGAGTCTTTTATACCTTCTACAACATTATTATTCCTAACATTTATTTGTAGAAATAATCAGTGGGCTTCATATGTTTGTTTTCAGCTCCTTACTAAATATATGAGGTGGCAAAATCGTTTTCATTTAAACAAGAACCAACACAGCTTTCCTTGCATTTTCCAGGTGCCCCTTACTTATTCTTATGTATTCTGAGGAGTTTCTGGAGAGCTGTCTCCCAAATTCTGTTTGGTTTCAATTCCTAGTTCTTAATTAACAGCAGCAGTTGGCACCTTCCTCTGTTGCCTCCGGCTGTTTTCACTGTTACTTCTGCCTTTGGTTGATAAGATCTTGCATGATCATTCTAGCAAAACAGTGGGAGCTAGTTATAGAGATGCTGGAGAAATTGGATTCTGTAGGCATTTAAAACCAAATTATCAATTTCGCAGTTTCCGAATTTGTGAACCAAAACATGGCTATCCTTTGAAATTTGCAGGTATCTGAATTTTTGCAATGCAGTAGTCTAACAGATGTTTATTAAAATATATGTTAGGGGAAAGTGTGCATAAAAGTGAAGGTATTAGTGAAAATAACAACAAGGATGCATAATGTTACGGGATGGCTTGCAGAAATGTGTACGTTCATCAAAACTGCATATAAAATTTGTTTACTCTGAGAAATTTGCACTAAAATGCTGATGAAGTTTCGTGAGGATTTTTATTTAAAAAATTAAAATACAAATAGCAGCAATGTGTGGATAACTGAAAGTCAGATTGGAAAAATGAAACATGGAGAGAACCAAACTTGACAGATCCTTCCTTCCCTAGCCAGCAGAAGTAGTAGCAGAGCTGAGACCCCATCCAACTCATTTGCCCATTTTGAAAAGCAAAACCTTTTTTTCTAAGTATCCCAGGGATTAAAAACAACAGCTTAAGTTGATTAAACTTGATGGTAAAAGTCCGAAATGAACTCAGGAATGTAACAGAGATATATTTAAATGTGAAAAGTGAAGGCCAGAGAGGAAAGATGGAAAAAGAGAGAGAGCATAGATTGATTATTGGAGCCTACATTTCAGATTACTGGAGGAAAGGGGATCTTCTTCTTTTTTATAAAAAAAATATATATTTTATTAACCGACCAATCAAATCAAATCAAATCACATAAATTCCGAATTACAAAGCCGAATTTTAAATTTTTGTTGGGGGTACCCATATTTCAAGTTCCGAAGGGGATTCCAATCATCTTCTTGCTGCTGCATTAATGTCCACAAATCTGTCCAAATAATGTTCACAATTCTATCCAGTCCTATCTTGCTGTTCCCACATCTCATCTTGTTATTTTCTTATATTTTTCTTTTTTCTTTGTGATCTCTTCTGATAATCTCCTTAAGCAGGTAAACACAAATCATAATCCTGTGTGGATTTTTCCGTCCAATAACCATATCGAGATGGTTTCCCTATATCATCACTTCCATAAATAAAAGCACTCTTTCCATCATTAATCTTCACAAATCTGTCGCCTTCTTTAGTCCTCTGAAGAGGTTCGCCCGCAGTATGAAAACAAATGCATTCCTCCTCCCAGACATAAATCTTTCGACAGAACTTGCCAAAATGGTGACGCTGTTTTTTACTGCGTCATCCCAAAGCTCTTGTACTTTTCCACGATCTCCTTAAAACATGCTTTGGTTAGAAATTATCTCCACACAGTCTTAAATCTTCCAGCTTAGGTCATTTAAGCGGCATTTCTGACTTGGGGGGGGGATTATTGGTTAATCACATAGAAGAAAGAAAGGAAAGTCCCGTCCCCCCCCCCGCATCCAGTCCTGTTGCCGACATACCAAGCCTTGGTGTGTCTTCTCATGATATATTCCTGTTTATCCGACCCGTCTTCTTTCTCATAAATGTATGAGTGTGGAAGAGGAAAATGAGTTAGTGTTTCTGGAAGCAGAACTCCCTACTTCTGGCTCTGATGCTTGTCCACCTTGTGATGAAAATAGATGTGCAAGAGCATCATGATCAGCATCATGTGTGTGCGCTTTAAAAAAAAGTCATACCCTTAGTCATTAATTCAGCGTGTGTGTCAACATGATATTTAGAAAGCAACCCCAAACAGAATGTTAAGTTGGAGGGGTATTAATTATAAATTATATGATTGTGTGGTGTTTCTTTAAAAAAACTTTTTTTTATAGATTTAAGGACAACAACAACATATAGATAAGGGGCGGGGGAATGAAACTACAATAACAAAAGGGGGAAAGGCAATAATAAGCCATCATTTTTCCCATGATAATATTTAAATTTTTTTCCCTGTGCTACTTGTCTGCTAATGGTTGTAGCCAACCAATGTTAGCCATACTCAGAATAGACCCACTGATTAATTTTTTAAAAAAATGTATATTAAAATATCCTGCTCTCTTTTTCTGCATTGCTCAATGCACTCATCCTTTTTGAATGTTGCAGATCCGAAGGCTCTTGATTTCTACAATTTTTTTCTCCCATGGATCGGTAAGTAGCATTATGCTTTTGGTTATTACATTTTGATCAGGAATCTCCAACTTCTTTAGGCCCTGGGGCACATCTGGAAATGGTAAGGAACTGCCCCCAAATACCCATTTCACAGAAGAAAAATTTGAAGGTGCTCAGAACAGTCCCTCCAAAAAGAAAAGAACAACCTTAAAATGACCTGCACAGAGCCTAAAACAAGGAACACACAAAGAAAAGGGTGGTGGGGGGGAAGGTTATCCCTTAAAAAAAAAAAAGCAAGCAAGTATGGGATGGTGAGGGAGCTCTAGCAGGCACCAATGATCCAATAGTGCCCACAGGTGCCACACCGGGGACTCCAGAGTTAGATGAATCTTGTGGTGCTATCCCTGATTAAATGTGAACAAGGAGTTTCCTCATGTGATGTACTCTGTCCATGGCATACTATCAATCTATATGATAAAATCAGAACACTGAGTTCCAAAGAACAGCCAAATAAGAGGAAACGTTGATTGGGATCCATCTATCTCAGGAGGCAATGGAAGAGGGCGCCTTTGGGGATGAAGTCAAACTGTTGGAGTTACAGAGCCTGCTGTGGCCGTAGAGACCAATACAGGAGAGACATGTTTTGTTGCAGCTGGGGCAGACGAAGATGTCCGGTTGTGCTGATGCAGGTGTACAATGGCTTTTCTTCTTTCTGCGCTCCTCCCAGCAGTCATTCCTCCTCCAGTCACTGCTGTGAATATGTACAACTTGTTATTGCATTGGTCCTTGCATTTAATGTAAGTGACAGCAACATACCTCAGAAGTGCCAAGGAGATTTAAACTCTTATTGCTCTTTCAAGCAAATATTGGACTTTCTGTCCCTTGGCTGACCTCATTAGGGGAAGGGCAGCTATTCACATTCCATTAATGCAATGCATTTTGTTTATGTTAGACCACTGGCATCTATTCTAAAGAACTGAGTAATCTTCTTGGGAAGACAAAGTATGAACAACTTTGGATAAGGTTGCAGTGCATGTCACTAATCATTATGCTAAGTATCTTGAATAATGATGCCCTGTTCAGATTGAAGCCCCTACTGCAATGCAAGCATAGATCCAATTCCTATTAAAGTATACCCCTTTGTTTCCTGTGTTAAAGTCCGCCATCACGACTGCTGTGTCTCCTTTTGTTTGGGCCACTCCTTTCTTCTGCAATTCCACAAAATTGCCAGGGTTGAATTCTTTGTGGTAGTAGGGTGGAGATCAATGTGATGATCCGCATTAAAGCCAACAATCTCTGTATGTCATTTATTGAGAGTACAAAATGCAGATGTATTAGTTGCAGGATTAGATGGGTTTGGCATGGAATTTTAAATCTTTTTAGCATGCCTCTGTTCAGACATGTTCTGCAGAGATTACTAACAAAAAGGAGATTTGACTAGCTTTTTCGTTCCATATTAGGGAAAGGGCTACTGGTATTAGATGGGCCCAAATGGTTCCAGCATCGGCGACTGTTGACTCCTGCATTTCACAGTGATATTTTAAAGTCATATGTGGTACTGATGGTCGATTCCACCAAAGTGATGTTGGTAAGGGCTTTTTTTAAAAAAAAACACACCCCAAAATACCTCTCTCTTATATCTAATAGAAGATCTAAACCAATAGTATTGTGGTTAAACCAGTTCTTTTTTCTGGGGGTATGCAGGGGTACACATACCCCTAAACATTTTGTGAATCTTTGCACTTTTGTCCATTACTGTATTTCTTTTCCCTGCTTCGAACTATAAAATGGTGATTTTCTTGAGTCAAAACATTTTTGTAAGGGAAAAAAGCACTGGGTTAAACTCTTCCAGCATGGCAATTGCACTTTGTGCTCAGGTACCAACCAACCTAGAATTTGGAAGCCTTGATCAGAAATGTTGATGCTACTCATAGCTTATTCAGAAACTTAAACCATCTTGTTGTACTCCTCTGAGCCTTGGGAACTTCCAGGCGCAGCAGCACCAGGTTTGATTTCCTTTGGATGAGGGAGTACAAGCCCAGCACTTTCATGCAGCAAGATGAATGTACCTGCTTCAGGCATCAACCTGATGGTGAGATGAAGACATGAATTTGTAGCTGTTTAGTATTGGCCCTGAGGTTTGGCTTGGGATTCTAGAGTTCTATTTCATTCAGCAAAATGTCTTGGACTAGCACTATTAAAGGATTCAAGCATTGCTTTATTTTCAATTACATTTCAAAATCCTTTGCTTTATTTTCAAATACATAAGTAAAACATCAGGGAAAGCAATGAGACAGTCCTACAAGGTACCATATATGTGGCTCCACGTCAGATCACCCTAAAGAGACTCTGCCTTCAACAAATTCATAGCTTTGCCTCTGCCTCTTCCAAACACACACACCCTTCCCTTAGCTAGAGGATGAGTGTCACCACTACTTCCAAGCTGAGATGGGTACCTCATACAAGCACAAACATTGATTCTCAATTAGCTCTCACTGAGGAAAAGCTGACAGTCATGGAGTATTATCCAGAAATCTGCCTAATCTGCCTAACCAGGTCTCATGGAATTATATTTAGACATAGTATTAAAAATACAGGCAACAACACACACACAAACAACACCACAACAAGGTCACCAGCTGGGTCCTTACTTGTGCCATACTTGTGCCATAAACATAATCTATTAACTCACTAACTGATCATATGTACGTTGTATGTTGCATAAGATTCAGGGCGGCGGGGAATCATAGACAGGAAAAAATATAGGCACCAGAGGAGTCAACTCCTAGGGGCACAGGTCCCTTTGGCCCACCCAATAAAATATTTGAGGGGGCCATGCACCCCAGGTTGATGGCCATTGCCATTTAAATGGTGTATCATGTGATCAATTATGTGGGGCGGGGCTTACCCCCCATATTTTATTCAAGTTGGCACCCCTGATAGGCACCTTAAATGATTGGAATTTGATTGTCAAAGGTTTAAAGGGCTTCCACATTAGAAATAAATGGAAACCACCCTACCACAATATATAAAAATAAGAATTCATTGCTTACTACACATGCTAGGTTGGTTTGTACAGGATCATAATCACCCAAATCTGATTGCTCCACTAGTGTTTAGATGACTGCCACGTTCTCTCTCGGATCTATAATTGCAACAAGGGATTTTGTGGTATTTGTAGTTGTAGGGGAAATCACCAGGGTGTCGAATGATCTGCCTAAATGTTTTTACCGTGAATTGTAAATGTACTAAATAAAGGAATGGATGGTGTGTCCTGCTCATTCTACGTATGGATATATGGACATTGCAGCAGCATGGGTGGATGGCTCAAATATGGATGCCAGAAATCTAATCATCTGAGGAATTTCCTTTTGACGTGTGAAACCTTTCACTCTTACATTAGGATAAATGGGAAAGGCTGATCTCAGAAGATAAATCACTGGATATTTTCCAGCATGTTGGGTCTATGACACTGGACAGCATGCTGAAGTGTATCTTCAGTTATCAAAGCAATTGCCAGCTTGACAGGTATCATAAGAACGGGGGGGGGGGGGGGAATTAACTCCAGTTTATAGATGAACCAGAGAACAATTTGGGTGGTGGTGGAATCACTTCTAGTATAAACCATTGTCTAGTGAGAACCAATTCATGTGAGCATCAGGCGCACAGAAACTGCTTGAAACCCCTGCACCTGTTTTTTCCAGGCCTATGGGCAATCTCTCATATGTCCCATGTTACAATTCAGAGTGGAATGGGTCTAACTCAGGGGTCAGCAAAATTTTCCAGCAGGGTGCTGTTCCACTGTCCCTCAGATCTTTTTTAGGGGGGCGGTCTATATTTTGGAGGAAAAAAATGAACAAATTCCTATGCCCCAAAATAATCAAGAGATGCATTTTAAATAAAAGCACACATTCTACTCATGAAAAAACACCTGGCAGGCCCCACAAATAACCCAGAGATGCATTTTAAATAAAAGGACACATTCTACTCATGTGAAACACACTGATTCCCGGACCATCCGTGGGCCGGATTTAGAAGGCGATTGGGCCAGATCTGGCCCTAGGCCTTAGTTTGCCTACCCACGGTCTAACTAATCAATATCCACCAAGAATGCTTGCAGTTGTGCTGCCACAACTCACAGTTGTACTGACAGTTACTTTGGACAAAAATGGGGTTTAGTGACTGGAAAGAAACTGTTGGTTCCAGGGTAGTTTTTTTCAGGTGTAGTCACAATTCTGCCTCCTTAGGGACAGGAGACATCACTTCCACAATAATTTGCTCTCAGACTAATTTGCCTCAGAAGGTTGTTGTGAGTATAAAATGGTGATGGTGGGAAAGACCATCTATTTGTTGGAGGGCAGGTGGAATTAGAGTGTGATAAACAAACTACATTGCTTTGTATTGTGCCTGTTAAAAATAATCATCTCTTAATTAAACTCTTTCTTTGACTCCTCTAGTAAGAATACATATGTCCAAGCAATTAGTGACCTCAGTTGTTTGATGCAGGAAAGAATACAGACATTTCTCTATCACAATGATCTAATCTATCACATCTGTCCTCATGGATACCGTTTCTTCAAGGCTTGCAGAATAGCCCATCGCCACACAGGTATTTCCTTTGGTTCTTCTCTTCATTGGAGGGTTCTACACCTATACGTACATATCTAAGGCAGCAAGCCTAACCCCACTTAGCCCTATTGAATTAAATGGATCTTACTTCTGAGCAAATATGGTTAGGCTTGTGCGATAACACCCCAAGGGCATGGATAGCTAGCTGCCAGACCCCAAGCAGAACCCAACTGCAAAATTTAATCTGCAGAAAGTCAACCTGTGCTCTCCTGGGGGGTGGGGGGATGCTGAGCAATTCTGGTGCCTCTCAGGGGTTTCCTAAACCCTTGACTTTTCAACAGTGGCACTTCAGATATGTAATAGCTTCTCCAGAGAGACTCGCCTGGCACCTGCTTTACAGTCTTTTCAATACCAGAAGATTTTTTTTATTCACCCACATTTTTTACCTGTGTTGTAAATCTGGACCATAAACTATTTTATGCTGTCTTTATGTAAGGATGTCTTTATCGCTGTCTAAAACCTAAAACCCTGAGTTTGCTCTGAGAATGGCTTAGTTAGATGCCACCCAAAATAAATGGATGTGTAGACTTTTTAAAAAAAGAATATTTGATAGTTGATAACATGTCAGGTTTCATATATGATTTCTGACAAAATCAAGTCAATCAAAAGAATCAAGCAAGTCTAAAGTATGTGAGTTTCCAATTTTTAGGTTAAGGTTTTACGTTTCAAACTCAAAATGTCATATCCAAAGTTAAATAGCAATGTTTGCCAATATTTGTTTGCAATTATTTGTTTCAGCAGGTCTAGTAACAACAGTCCTAACCGTGGACTCAGCTATACAGCTGCAAAGAAAATGTTTTAAGTGCAATATACAATGTGACACTAGATGGTGATGGCAAGCCTTATGGAAAATTCAATGTATTTAAAAAAATGTTTTAAAAAGAAACATTTTCAGAATTTTTTTTATATGTGTGTAGATTCAACCCTTAAGTCCTGTCCCACTATGGGAATTTCTTCATCCTTTTAAAGTTAGTAACATACAGAAAATTACTTAGAAGCAGTGAATGTCATGACGTCTGTTTGGGAAAATTATTAAATTTATTACTTTTTTGACACAGAAAAGGTGATTAGGGAAAGAAAGGCACTCCTTAAAGATGAACGGGAACTTGAGAAGATCCAAAAGAAGAGATATCTAGACTTTCTGGATATTCTTCTCTGTGCCAGGGTGAGTAAAATCCACATCATGACTTTCCAAATAAGGGATATATGCATGTATGCAGCCAACAGTCTTGTCCCTTAGATACATTGGTTTACAGTGTTTCTATCTCACTGCCCAGCCAAAAAGGGCTTCCAGAGTGGCTTACTTAAAATAATCAATAATCCCATGAAGGAGGCAAGTGGTTGCATGTGATGGAAAACAAAGCAAGTCCTCCGTAGCTTTTGACCTTGATCATTCTCCATTTTTCAGGATGTAAATGGTGAGGGATTATCTGACGAAGACATACGTTCTGAGGTGGACACTTTCCTCTTTGAGGGTCACGATACCACCACCAGCGGGATTTCCTGGACCTTATATGCCATGGCCCAGAATCCAGAGCACCAGCAAAAATGCAGGGAGGAGATAAAGGAGATTCTTGGAGAGCGAGAGACTCTGCGCTGGTGAGAAGGTCCTTCACTCGCTATCTGTTTTTCTTTTGTGAGGATCCCTGCTGAAGCAGGGCAAGCTTTACTGTTTTCCAAGCAAATCTGTGACTCTCTTGTCAGACCTGAAGTGGAAAAGTTTTAGATTTTTGAAAACCCTGGTTAATACCTGGGAACTCTTTGGAGAGGTAAGATGCCACAAAAGTTTCAATTTGCTTCAGAAATTGCCAATAGTGCTGACCCCCATGAATGTGAGAGTGTGTCATGCTTCAGCATTTTCAGATTCATAGTTAACGCTGAAGGTTAATTTGTTTGGGAGAGGTACAGGTGTCTCATATTCAAGTTCCCCCACAGTTATTTCACTGCATGTATAAATGCAGTTTTGACCAAACTGCGGGAGGCAGTGGAAGACAGAAGTGCCTGGCGTGCTCTGGTCCATGTGGTCACGAAGAGTCAGACACGACTAAACGACTAAACAACAACAACAACATAAATGCAGAATATGCAAGGATGCTCAAATCTCCTTTTTTGTCACTTCTTTTAATATCCGACTCCACTGTCTGTGGAATATTTTTGTCTTCTTGTCACTTGTGAATCTACCTCACAGTTTGTTTGTTTGTTTCTCCCAGGGATGACCTTAGTAAGATGACTTACACGACGATGTGTATTAAGGAAAGCCTCCGTGTTTATCCTCCTGTTCCTCAGGTGTACCGAGAGCTCAATAAACCAGTCACATTTCCTGATGGAAAGACATTGCCTGCAGGTCTGCCTCATTATGTTTGATTACATTTCACAGTATTTTCAATGACAGACATGAAGGATGGAAACTGAAAGAGTGGCAACGGTGTCCCGATTGTTGGTTTTGTGACAAGTATCTGGCATGATGGGGTGATAGGGTTGACTTGCTCATTTGTCTTGAAGGATATAATTCTCTATCTGACTTTGGAGTCATGTGCCCCTAAAGGCTGTTGAGAGGCTTAGAAGTTGTACTACAAAAGTTCTTTGTGTTAGGACACTGGAACTAAAGAGGCAAGACACAAGGTTTGGGATGTTACTAGGGCAACTTCATTAAACTACAACATTAAGAACTTCTAAGCTGAACAGGAAATATCTATGTGTGGGAAATACATGTCCTCTGTCAGGCTCCTAAGTATGCCATATCCAAATTTTAAAGTATGTCTGGCTAAGATCCTTGCCTCACTGAAGACAAGTTTGAATTAGACAAGCCAATGCCAGGATAAGGCATCTTCATATCTTCCTCTGCAGATATATTTACATATTAAACTATGCACCACTTCGGAGGCAGTTTGTAAAACTGACTGTGGTCAAGGAATGACAAAATAAATAAAAATGAAGTATAAAGTCACCCTGAGGACTTCCAGATTAATCTATCTGCTCCATGAGTTCTGGCAAAACTCTTTGTCACCTCAGAGAATGACCATGTCTTAATGAAAGCAGACTCAAATCCCCACTAAGGCATTGTAACCTACACGCAAGTAACTCAGCAACAAATACCACAAAATACATTGGGATGCCATAACAGCTCCATCTTAAGCAATCCTTCCCTGGGGCCTTTCTGCAATCCAGCAATGCAGCACTGAAAACACAACTTTGTGATGTGTTCCATTTACTAATCAGATATTTCTCCCTTCTCCCTCCAATCCTTAACAGGTGCTTTGATATCCCTGAATATTTATGCTCTTCACAAAAATCCTGAAGTGTGGAAGGATCCTCAGGTATTTATGCTCTGGAGCATTGTTTGGTCAATGGTTTAGAGCATGTTGAATGCACATTTTAAGTGTGTTTATTGCACACTAAAAGCAGGTGACTCCTCCCCCAAGAATAATGAGAACTGTTGTTTCTGTCTCACAGAGCTTCCATTTCCAGAACCTTTAACATACTACAGCTCCCAGGATTCTTTGGGGGAAATCATGTGCTTTGACTGTGCACTGAATATGTTTTAAATGTGTAGCATGGATGTGCACTTAGAATCACAGTACCACAGCAGTGTTGCATGCAAAATGGGATAAATGTACAGTTGCTCAATTCCTTATGTGTGAGGTGGAGACTTTGGGGATGCTCTAGGATGTGGGCTTCTGGTATTGTACCCCACTTTTCTGGGAGGGATCCCTTGAGAATTGTGCAAAATGGCAAGAGTTGGAGCATGAAAATTTGCTGCAACTTGGGACAACTTAGCATTCCACAGCCTAATGTTGACATACCCGCCAACATTTGTCTGATAAAAATAGGGACATCCCATTCCATAATGATAATTTTACTGTTTATACCCCACACATCTTACTGGGTTGTCCCAGCCATTCTGGGCAGCTTCCAACATATATAAAATCATAATAAAACATTCAGCATTAAAAAAAAAAAATCCCTATGCAGGATTGCCTTCAGACAGCTCAGGGGTCAGAAAACTCCATACCCTCCAACATTTCTCCAGTGAAAATAGAGACATCCTAAGGGAAAGTGGGACATTCTGGGATAAAATCTGAAACTTCTCTAAATCAGGGATGTGCCTGGAAAATAGGGACACTTGGCGGGTCTGAATTGATTGCCCTGTGTTGATGTACAGACAATATCAAGCAGATGCAGCATGGATGTATATTCAGAGCAACGAACATTCTGTGATTGAAAATACAGGAAGGAAAAATAAATAACAATAAAAATTCTTAGCCAAAGTAACTCTGAAAAGAAGAAGAGTTTGGATTTGATATCCCGCTTTATCACTATCCGAAGGAGTCTCAAAGCGGCTAACATTCTGCTTTCCCTTCCTCCCCCATGACAAACACTCTGTGAGGTGAGTGGGGCTGAGAGACTTCAAAGAAGTGTGACTAGCCCAAGGTCACCCAGCAGCTACATGTGGAGGAGCAGAGATGCGAACCCGGTTCCCCAGATTACGAGTCTACTGCTCTTAACCACTAGACCACACTGACTCTCTAGACCACAAAAGAAGAATTCTGCAACCTTTAATTTTTATGCAAATGATACACATTATACTCTTGCTTAATTTAACTTGCATAATGTACATTGCTTCTGTTGGCCATGGGGAGCATTTATCTAGGGCACTGAAGTCTCATTTTCTCCCTGCCCACTGGGTGGAAACCTTCAGCCACAGCTCAGAGATTTCACCAGACATTGCCACATACTTTTAAGCCCATTTTGCACAGCCTTTTCAGCAGAGCTGTGGGATAGCAGAAAGTAGTATGGAGGAGCTACTGGAATAGATGATAATAACCCTGGGAGAAAAAGACATTGCCAAAAAAGCAGGGGTGTTTGGGTAATGAGGAACCCCCGGCAACTTTCTACATGTCTATGCACATCCATGTTGCCAAACTGAAGGCTAGCCCACATATGCATGTACATCACTTGAATTCTGTCTTTGATGTCTGGCAGTGGCATTTGAATGCATCATGTGACCTCAGTGAAAACCACTGTGCTTTACAAGAGTGAAAGCTCCTCTTGTGGTGTTGTGACTGTGATGGTCTCTTCACTAATAATAATAATAATAATAATAATAATAATAATAATAATAATAATAATAATTTATTATTTGTACCCCGCCCATCTGGCTGGGTTTCCCCAGCCACTCTGGGCGGCTTCCATAGAAACCAAAGATACAGTAAAATATCACAGATTAAAAACTTCCCTGAACAGGGCTGCCTTAAGATGTCTTCTGAATGTCAGGTAGTTATTTATCGCTTTGACATCTGATGGGAGGGCGTTCCACAGGGCGGGCGCCACTACCGAGAAGGCCCTCTGCCTGGTTCCCTGTAGCTTTGCTTCTCGCAATGAGGGAACCACCAGAAGGCCCTCGGCGCTGGACCTCAGCGTCCGGGCAGAACAATGGGGGTGGAGACGCTCCTTCAGGTATACTGGGCCGAGGCCGTTTAGGGCTTTAAAGGTCAACACCAGCACTTTGAATTGTGCTCGGAAACGTACTGGGAGCCAATGTAGGTCTTTCAAGACCGGTGTTATGTGGTCTCGGCGGCCGCCCCCGGTCACCAGTCTAGCTGCCACATTCTGGATTAGTTGTAGTTTCCGAGTCACCTTCAAAGGTAGCCCCACGTAGAGCGCATTGCAGTAGTCCAAGCGGGAGATAACTAGAGCATGCACCACTCTGGCCAGACAGTCCGCGGGCAGGTAGGGTCTCAGCCTGCGTACCAGGTGGAGCTGGTAGACAGCTGCCCTGGACACAGAATTGACCTGCGCCTCCATGGACAGCTGTGAGTCCAAAATGACTCCCAGGCTGCGCACCTGGTCCTTCAGGGGCACAGTTACCCTATTCAGGACCAGGGAGTCCTCCACACCAGCCCGCCCCCTGTCCCCCAAAAACAGTACTTCTGTCTTGTCAGGATTCAACTTCAATCCATTAGCCGCCATCCATCCTCCAACCGCCTCCAGGCACTCACACAGGACCTTCACCGCCTTCACTGGTTCTGATTTAAAAGAGAGGTAGAGCTGGGTATCATCTGCATATTGATGGACACCCAGTCCAAACCCCAAATCAATATCACTTGATATTGCAGTGATCCAATGATCAGCATGCATGCATGAAGCAGGTCCAAGTACATCTCGTTGCTGATGCAAGCTGCTGATAACTACAGTCTTACTCTCTTTCAGGTGTTTGATCCTCTAAGGTTTTCACCCGATAATTCATCTCAAAGACATTCCTATGCATTTTTGCCGTTTGCTGCTGGACCCAGGTAATACAACTAATGATGTAAAGTTGTTCACTGAAAATAGACAGAAGCAAGATGAAAGATAGTCAGCCAAAGCAAAACTTGATTTATATGACCAATGAGTGAAGTTCATCCTCAGAATTATGGATTGCTGCTTACCTGTGTCTGGCTCTCACTGATATTGTGACGAGGAGAACGGAACGGCCCCCTTCCATGGGACAGAAGGTTTGTTCTCTCTTTTTTAAGGAATGAACAGAGTCATCTTTCCAGAAAGATTAGCTTTTTCCCCTGATAAAGGGGTCCCTGTGTGAGTGTTCTGTTTACTGAGGATTTAGGACCAATCCACACTCTTTGGGTTGCCTCTGCCCCCAAGTCCAGGGCAATCCATGTGGGGGGTTTTCTATGGGTTAAATGCATCCATAGAGAAGCAGTTGTCTGAACACACCACAGATCTTGCTCTTAATTTAGCACACTATTGCACTTAGTACATGGATTTATGAATCCTTAAGAAATAGTTTTACTGTGGATATATTCTGCCTGTGATGACAACAAACACCCAAGATTAAAAATAAACTCAAAATGTGGTTAGTATGAATGGATTAAGGACTTAGATCGTCATAACTGAGGATCAGGAATCCTGCACTACAATCCAAATTCTTCTTTATTTAAGCCCTCTGTGAAAACACCCCATTGCTTTAGAACAGGTTTTGCCAAGCTAGCAAAACAGTTCCCATCAGCATGAGTTTGCTGGCTGGAGCTGAGGGGAGCTGAGGTTCAAAGCGGCTGTAGGGCAGCTGTAGATTGGGAAAGGCTTCTTTAGAAGTATTCCCACCCACACACCAAAATGTCCCATTTCCCATGTACCATCACTTCTTCATTCATTTCATATTCTAGTAACCCATTAGTTCTGCAGCTGGAATAAACAAGGACAGTTGAGGAGCTGGTTGCAAATTGCAGAAACCACACAGCTTCAGGGTTTATGGGTTTTTGGCACCTGCATTCTTGTTTAGACACACGTACCCAAATGTTTAGAAAGTTTGTATGAGTTTTAATTTGCTTGTGGGCTATTCTGTTGCTAGCTTCCTGTATGTTTTAAATCATGGTTGTAAATTTTTATTGTTTTATCTTGTATGTAAACCACTTTGAGATTTATTTCTATAATCAAGCAGAACAGGTGACTCCCCATACGTGAAGTACTGGCAGATAATTAAATAATCCAATTCATGCCTGGAAATGGCAGGAGAGAGCTGTAGAGTCCTCATAGTTCATGAGGAGACCCTCAGCGAGGGCAGAGGAAGCCTCAATGAAGGCCAGAGGTGCAGCAAGGCTTTGTTTGCGCTGCCCAGCCTCTCCGCCTAACAGCTGATGTAGCTGCTGCTTTCCTGTGTGTCCTTCAGCCTCCTGCCAGCCCCAGGATATTTTTGGATACTGTATTTTTGGTATGGATTGAAGAGAGAGTGACAGAAAAGGTGTTTGGGGGGGGCTCTGTGCCTTATGCACGCGGGGGGCCCCGTGTAAGTGTGGCAACGCTCATATATGATTCTTATGACATGAAATATATATATATATATATATATATATATATATATGCTTTCGTAGATTTTCACGGGTACAGGAATGCAGGTTTTGGTGTCCTCGGGTGTCTTCCCGTGTAAAAGTTGGGGTGTCTAGGCGACGTTTCGACGAGGTCTCACTCGTCATCTTCAGGCTGGTGCTTTCGGCTTCTTGTTACTGGAACAGAGCAGGATCTCAGTGTTTGAGTTCCTATAAATACTGTTGAGGGGGTGTGGTGTATAGCCTCCAATGTTCTGGGCAGAGAGGAAGTTCCCAGGCTAGTGTGCCTTTTCTTCTTTTGTTCCTTAATTACTTGAGGGATATCTTGAGTGATTTCTTGAGTGATATCCTGAGTACCACTTAGGTGGGTCATTAGGTGTGGATTAGTTGCTAAAGCCTTCGTGTCTTGACCTCTTGAACTTTGTGAAGAGTTTTTCTGAGAAGATGGCTGTATTGCATTTAGTTGTGCTCTGGCTTGGCTTCGTGTATAGGGGCGAGCTGTGGTTTTGTGTCCTGTGCCAGCCAGATCTGTGTAGGGATTGCAGGGGGGTGCAGCATCCGGAGGTGCCACCATGGTTTGGCTACTGGATGGTGTCTGTAATTTATCTGTGGAGAGGGTCTGGGTTTGGGTCTGGTGTGGTTGATTGGTGATGGCGTTCTGTGTGCCTCTGGATCTGGTGTCGGTTTTTGTGGGGAGGGCTAATTTCCAGATGTCTGGCAGGTGGGATGTGTCGTCACGCTTGTTCATGTTGTGAGGGTGTTTCTCTATCTCGATGGCTTCCATGATTATTCTCTTGTGGTGATGTTCCATGTTAGAGAGCAATTTGGAATCTGCAAAATTCAAGAGGTCAAGAGGTCAAGACACGAAGGCTTTAGCAACTAATCCACACCTAATGACCCACCTAAGTGGTACTCAGGATATCACTCAAGAAATCACTCAAGATATCCCTCAAGTAATTAAGGAACAAAAGAAGAAAAGGCACACTAGCCTGGGAACTTCCTCTCTGCCCAGAACATTGGAGGCTATACACCACACCCCCTCAACAGTATTTATAGGAACTCAAACACTGAGATCCTGCTCTGTTCCAGTAACAAGAAGCCGAAAGCACCAGCCTGAAGATGACGAGTGAGACCTCGTCGAAACGTCGCCTAGACACCCCAACTTTTACACGGGAAGACACCCGAGGACACCAAAACCTGCATATATATATATATATATATTATGGGCCTGTTCAAGTTTCAGCTTGAATGTTTTTTCTTCCTCAGGAATTGCATTGGGCAACAGTTTGCTATGATGGAGTTGAAACTGGCGGTTGCTCTGACTTTGCTGCGCTTCCAAGTTGCACCAGATCCTGCTAATCCTCCCCTTGAGAAACCTCAGCTCATAATGCGCTCTTGGAATGGGATTCACTTATATTTAAAGAAGCTTGCATAGATTATCTGCAACCACAGAACATGACTCTTGTAAATAATAAAACTTGTGTAGCTGCTAAGATCTTTATCGCTATTTGATAGATCAGAAGAAACATATTACAGTTAAACCTCGGCTTCCGAACGGCTCCATTTCCAAACGTTTCGGCTCCTGAACGCCAAAAACCTGGAAGTAAATGCTCCGGCTTTCACACATTTTTCAGAAGCCGAATGTCTGACGCGACTTCCGCTTGAGTGCAGGAAGCCGTGTCTCAGTTGTCGAACGTTTCGGAAGCCTAATGGGCTTCCGGAACAGATTACGTTTGATGACCGAGGTTTGACTTTATACATTTAAAGAGCTATGATACTGCTATCCCTGCTGTTTTTCAGTACCTGTCAAAGACCTTCCTCTTCCAACAAGCCTTTTAAGTAGAAATCTTTCCTAGCCTGCACTTGTATTGGAATCCCCAATGTGTTTGAATTTTAAAAATTGCTCGAGTGTTTGCCTCCCTGGGCTCCATTGGGAGGAAGGGTAAGATATTAAGGAAGGAAGGAAGGAAGGAAGGAAGGAAGGAAGGAAGGAAGGAAGGAAGGAAGGAAAAACCTCTATGAGAAGCAGCCATGGTGTTGAACAACTTCAAGTAAACATGCATAACAGAATCCAGTTACAGACACAGATTATAATAATACCTAGTACAGTGCCAGAGTAGCTGGTTAAATGGTTAAATTATCTTAGAAGAGTTGTATTGTGTGATTCCCTCCCCCCCCCCCCACACACACAGTGAAGCATGGATATTGGGAGGGCCTGAGAATTTTGTGTCCTTACTAATAAAGGGGGGGGGGAACCAACCCAAACTTCCTTGAGCCAATATTTCTTTGCTTCACTTCTCTCAGCATTCATCTGTGTTGTGTAAGACATTCAGATAAGGCTATACCCAGGACATTATTGAACCATTCCTCTTCAGTAAGAACAATTCAAGACATCACATGTCCCTGGCCCCTTCAATCGCCAGGTGGCGTGTTTGATTCCATAGTACAACTATGCACTGTGTAGCATATCTGTAACTTGTTTTTCTACCCAGCAGCTCAAATGTGTACATTTTCCTCCCCTACCTGCTTCTATATTTGCAGCAGCCCTGTGTGGTGGGCTAGGTTACGTTAATATAGATACATAAGCAGCAGCAGGGGGCCCAATCCACATACAATGTACCAGGCCCAGGAAATACTGTTGACGTCTCTGAGATTACCGTTGTTCCTGATCTGGAAATTCTCCCAGCTGGTGCATAACGGGGCAGCTAGGCTGATGGTGGGGACAGACTACAGCCAGCTCATAACTCTGGGGCTTAAAAGCTTTCACTGGATACCCATACGCCACTGGACCAAGTTCAAAGTTATTGCATTAATTTACAGGGCCTCAAACAACATGGACACAGGATACCTTAAGGATCCCCTGGTTCTATATATCCAGGGCTTTTTTCCAGAGGGAATTAACAGGAACTCAGTTCCGGCACCACTGTCATTCTAAGAAAACAAGGGAGGTGTTCATAGTGAGTTCCAGCACCTCTTTTTCTAGAAAAATAGCACTGTATATATCCTCGGGAAGTGATTTTGATTGGCAGAATGTCCCATGGAAAAAGCTGAAGTCCCCTTACCCTGATTCATAGCTCTAGTCAAATTTGCAGAATTTCTGTACAGTGGTACCTTGGGTTACATACGCTTCAGGTTACAGACTCCGCTAACCCAGAAATAGTACCTTGGGTTAAGAACTTTGCTTCAGGATGAGAACAGAAATCGTGCTCCGGCGGCACGGCAGCAGCGGGAGGCCCCATTAGCTAAAGTGGTGCTTCAGGTTAAGAACAGTTTCAGGTTCGCTTCGAATTAAGTACTTAACCCGAGGTACTACTGTATTTTTATTTTGTTTTCTCCTGCATAAATCTTGTGCTTCTCAGCTCCTGCTATCAGAAGCTTGAGCTGTGCAATCTGGGACCTTGTGACATGGCAATACAATAGATAATTGTACTTTCATACAATAAAACTCAGGTTAATGCTTACAGAGCGTAATTATATGACCTCAACACACACACACACACACACACACACACACACGCATACATTCACATCCAACACAGTCACATGTAGGAACTGCATATTTTATGACTGAATAGATATTAAAGGGCACAATAGTTGTTACACTGTTTCTTGGCAGAGAAAAAGGAAAGCTGAAAGGGAGAATGTTATTGGTTGTTGACCCCACCCTGTAGACTTTGGCTGGACTCAAATTACAGTTCCTCTAGTCACTAAGTTTAATCTTTGAGGGGAAGTACGTGGGTGGTTCTTGCAGGCAAATACTTCTGGTTTTCCTGGTACTGTACCAGAGATTACAGCAATTTGCAAAAAGATAGTGTTCAGTATTAGGACTAGAACTTCTTCTAGACCTGGCACTTTTAGCAATAGGAGCTCAGTGGAAGAAGGCACAGTAAACCAAGGTGGGAGTGTCAAAACTGCTCCAGAGATGGTCTTAAATTCTTCTTGGTCTTGGCTGCCTTGGGATTTATCTCATATTTTCCACTTGACAATTATTTTGAGCTTTGCCTATGTGGCCCTGAAAGCTGTTCAGCTGTATCGGAAAAAACAGTACCTGGTCAAAGTTCTCAGCAGTTTTCCAGGACCTCCCGCTCACTGGCTATATGGCCATGTCAAAATGGTAAGGTGGCTGTGTGTGGCAGAGTGAGGGTGGTAGAGAAAGTGTCTTTATCTATGTATTTGCTAAGCTTTATGCTAAGAAAGTAATGGATTAATGCCCACATTCTTCTGTGTTATGTAAACATAGTGAGAAATGTGCTTTTCGCTTGCTTTTTCTACTAACAGAGATTTAGGAGAAGGTCTTAACCCTTTCAAATGCAAGTAAAAGTCTGCTTGCACTTTTAAAAGTGCTGTGTAATGTTTGTCCACATTTGCGAGAAGTAAATATTTTTGTGTGCTTTGGGACTCCCTCCCTATTTATTGACACTAGGCAGGAACCCTCACCACAGTGGTTTGGACACTGACTGAACACATCCTTATTTCACCAAGCCTACTCAACCATATGATTTAGTGACCTATATCTTTTTAAAAAGTTTTAGTGATTTTATCTGTATTTTAATTATGATTATTTCATACATGTTTGCTGTATCAAGTAAGCAAAACATTCCCTTTTCCAATATGGCTTCTCCACATAGTACTTTCTTTGTCCTCATGCCACAGCAGTATGTTAAATCACCCAAAAAGTTTCTGCTATGTATGTGGAGAATGAACATTTAAATCTCAGAAACAAAGTTTCACTCCACTTGTTTGAAAGGCACACACACTTTATTTTGGTATTGTGGTAGGTGATCAAGACAAACCATTGGCCCCATATATTTGTTGTAAAACATGCGTAACACTCTTGACAGCCTGGCTAAAAGAGGCATCTTGCAGAATGCAGCTTGTTGTACCAAGGCAGGTAGAGTCTAAGGATGCTTGTGAACTTCTGCTGCCTGTTAGTCCAGAAACAAAATAGAGACATAAAACAACATCAACACAATTTTAACTGCTTTCTTGAGCATTGGTTCCAATTCATAATTTGTGCTAAGAGGAATCCAGCCACAGCGGTTTCTCAGCTTCATGTCACATTTTGAAAGCATATTTTATATCAAATGTGCTGTTTCATTAATGTTGTCATTCAGTCTGTTTAAACCTACAAGGCAGCTAGCTTGGGGTACTGTACCTGGTCTGTTGAATACTGACTATGTATATTCAGAAATAGGGATGAATAATCTCTCAGTCTCAGCGCTGTCTGTTTCTTATTTGCATAGCTGTCAACTTTTCCCTTTCTTGCGAGGAATCCTATTCGGAATAAGGGAATTTCCCTTTAAAGGGAAACATTGACAGCTATGCTTATTTGTCCAAATTTAAATTTGGTTCTCCATTTCTGCAGTAACTTGCAGATTATGATTTTTTTTAAAAAAAATTAAAAATTCATGCAAATTATTTAGCATTTTACCGTAAATGTCTCCTAAGAAACACATTTTTAATACACTTTTAACTAATACAGTGGTACCTCGGGTTACAAACACTTCGGGTTACAGACTTCGCTAACCTGGAAGTAGTACCTCGGGTTAAGAACTTTACCTCAGGATGAGAACAGAAATCGCACGGCAGTGGCATGGCCGTGGGAGGCCCCATTAGCTAATGTGGTACCTGAGGTTAAAAACAGTTTCAGGTTAAGAACGGACCTCCAGAAAGAATTAAGTTCGTAACCAGAGGTACCACTGTACACACATTTTAAAAAACATTTCCCCCCTATATTGTGCATCTTTGTACATTATTTTTTACGTATGTTTATTTTTATGCACACCTTTACATAATATATACATTTTTCTAAAAATTATTTGCTTGGAGAACTGCACCACAAAATTCAGGTAAGTGTGAATTTCACAGGACGGTTGTGTTTTGATTCTCATATTGTTTTGGAACATGAGAATTTTGCATAAAAGGTATGGGCCAGTCGTGTCTGACTCTAGGGTTGTGCGCTCATCTCACTTAAGAGGCCGGGAGCCAGCGCTGTCCGGAGACACTTCCGGGTCACGTGGCCAGCGTGAAGAAGCTGCTCTGGCGAGCCAGCACCAGTGCAGCACATGGAAATGCCGTTTACCTTCCCGCTATAAAGCGGTACCTATTTATCTACTTGCACTTAGGGGTGCTTTCAAACTGCTAGGTGGGCAGGAGCTGGGACCGAAAGATGGGAGCTCACCCTGCCGCAGGGATTCGAACCGCCGACCATGCGTTCGGCAAGTCCTAGGCACTAAGGTTTTACCTGGAGAATTTTGCATATCCACCTTTAAAAGTGAACTGAATCAGTATCCCTACTCAGGAGTTCAGTTTACATTCCAAACTAGAGAAGAGCTTTTGGGGGACATTGTGCTCAGTTCAGAACATTGCTAAACTTTAAACTAAGTCATATTCCAAGGTAAATAAAAAAAAAATCCTTCCAGTAGCACCTTAGAGACCAACTAAGTTTGTTATTGGTATGAGCTTTCGTGTGCATGCACACTTCTGTTATCTGAAGATAAGGTGCTACTGAATCGATTATTTTTATTTTGTTTTGACTACGGCAGACTAACACGGCTACCTGCCTGTAACTAGATCCAAGGTAAATGATTGCAAACTGCAGCAACAGCACTAGAGATCAGCTATAGCAGATCTGCCAGCCATTATGCTAAGCCAAGCTGTAAGGAGTGCTTCATGCCATTACTTCCTCATATCTTGTTTGTTTCACACTTTTTGAAATGCAAGGAAGTGACAAATGATGGAATCTCTCATCAAGTTTGTACTAAAAGCTTTCAGCCATTGCCAGATACAGGGTTCAACTGCGAACATTTAAGTCAACATTCAGAAACCAAAGAATCTACTCAGCCAGTAGAAGCAAACATTTCTTCCTGAGAGCACTTTGAAGGAAAATAATAGAGAACCTCATATAATCTGTGCTGAACATGAAGAGCAGCATAAACAGCATATCTGCTCATGACTTAAGGACTTTATGATGATATGATTATTCCACACCCATCGTACATTCTAGAAGTATAGCATTAACTTGGCCTTGACTGATAACCTGCTGAATATTTTCTTATCATTAGGCACTTGTGGTCAGGGGAGAAATACACTTTCAGTAAAGTGCCAATTTGGAATGCCATTCCATTATGAAAAAATGAGAAGGATTCTGAGTGCAAATTTGCACAGTTGTGACTCTTGTGTTATGGAATCTCCAGCTTTTAAATTCAGAGGGGGGCCATATTTTCTTTTTCCTAAACAGAAGACTGGCATACAGAGTTTATTTTACTTTGAAAAGAAAAGCCTGATCCATAACTAGGTCAAGAAACTGACAGCCAACAAGCAATTATTAAATTACCATTGCTTATTTTAAACTGAAAATCAATGATGCAACTTCAACATACCACCGAAGTCTTCCATGAGACATTGTTCATGTATGCCTAGCACTCTGCAACCTTTTGCTGGCTCAGATGATTGCTTGGCAGGTGGAGGGGAAACAACACATTTTCTTTCATCAAGAGAAGGAGTTATCTTGGAAAACCTTAGTTTTCAATGTTTTTAAAAGAGCCTCTCTCCTCTAAAACTCATGCTTATGATGGAAAACTCAAAATGTGTGCACACATTTATCATAGGCATATTCCAGTCTCTCTCCTGTTAGTTTCTATACACTTATATGTCCCACAACAGGTCCAGGGTACCTTTGGCTCGCTAGATGTTGTTCAGCTACAACTCCCATTAGCCATAGCCACTGCTCATGCTTGCTAAGGCTGATGGGAGTTGTAGTTCAGCAAATTCAGGAGAGCCAAAGGTTCCCTGCACTTGTCCTATTATGTTCTCTGTAATATCCTACTGTGGGCCCTGTCATAGCACCCTCCTTTGTAAAGGACCAAACATGACAAGACAACGATCTGGGGTAAAAAGTGGTCACAACTTTATTGATTATAGGTATAGGTAGACTTTGGCTCAGGCATTGGGTGTATATCTATATTAGCCTCCTACTAGAGGACTGAAATTTTGAACAGGATCATGCCATGTATTGTGGACTCCCCAAGACATGAATCTCTAGTTCCACATTCAGCCTCTACTCCCTGGCTCCCCTATTGGACGTGCAAATCTTTGCATTTGTGATTGATCTATTTCTCTTATGCAATCTTACCTAAAACAGAGGAAAGATTTGCACACATAAAGAAGCATAACCAATCATAAACACTATATAATAATGTTATTATAATGGTTCAATTTATTTCAATTAGGAAAAAATGGTTTTTCTATCTGTATTATTTGGTGGCTGTTTTCTTCTTAAAATTTAGACATCAGTGGCTTTATCATTCTTAAGCAGTGTATGTTCTTCTACACCTGTGAGGTTTAGTGCAGAACAGAAAGAAAGCAGGTTTTAAAAGACTGGGGTGTTAGGACAGAGCCAAGGGGGTGAATAATTCCATTGTTAAATATGCATCCTAGCTTAAAGTTATATTATTTTTTAAAACAAATTTTATTACATTTTCCACAGTGATAACACAAACCACAAAGCAAAATGATACACAAAAACAGAAAAAGAAAAAGAAAAAAGAAGACAGAAAAAGGGGGAACAATAAACAGATAAACAATAACAACAAACTTCATTCTTCACAAATCCAACCTTTTAAACATCTTGGTTGACTTCCTCAAATCCCTCCCTTCTGAGTTTCCTTGTAATTAAAAGTAACAGCTTTCCAATATCATTATTAAACTAAAACAATTTCCAATTATAGTCCATCTTATTCACTTTTCTTAACATTCTAAATCCCATTTATTTAATTATAACTTAATTTAATCCTAGGCCTATTTGTTTCTTTCAAGTCATTTCTAATTTTTTATATTACAATATTTATTCAAATAGTCCTTGAATTTCCTCCAGTCCTCTTGAAACTCCTCTTCTTTCTGGTCACGGATTCTTCCAGTCAGGTCAGCTAGCTCCGAAAAGTCCATCATCTTCATCTGCCAATCTTCCACTGTTGGTAGTTCTTGTGTTTTCCAATTTTTAGCAAGTAATATTTGGGCGGCCGTTGTGGCATGCAAAAATAATTTAACTAGCTTAAAGTTATAAACCATTGCATTATATAACCATCTAAGTCTGATTTCATCCTGAACTAAACATTTAATCACGGTGTCCGAGATGTAAACTGACTACTGATCTTTTTTTAAAATAAATAAATAAATAAATGATGCAGATGAAACCAGAAGAAGAATTCCTGAACATAGCAGCATGGACAGAAAAGTACCCACACTGCCATCCCCTTTGGTATGGAACTTTCTTGGCTTTCCTGGCCCTCAACCACCCTGAATATGCAAAGGCTGTGTACAGCAGAGGTGGTAAGAAATGTGTATCTTACATCCTTCTGATCGTGAAGTTACATGAATATGCTAGAGGTTGTAAAAATTATCCATGCATTTATCTCTGGGCAGTAAGTTGCACTGCTCTTTGCTTTTCTTGAGATACAAATGTAAGTGATTCATATTTCAAGGCCCTCCTAAAGCAACCTTCCCCAAGCTGGTGCCTTTAAGATGTCTTGAACTACAACTCCCATCAGTCCCTCACTGCCAGGCAAAGAACTCCCAGCTCCCAGCTCTAGTTCTCTCCAAGTCTTTAATGCTCAGATCGGATTAATAGAGAAGGCACATTGCAGGCTACAAAGTTCAACAGGTATATTAGAGACCTACAGACACACTGCCTTGAACCCATCATTGAGTGGGCTTGGGGCTATGTGACGTCAGCACACTGTTCACGCATGCCCAGCAGCGTGTGCACGTGACGTCAGCATGCCATGCCATGCGGTGGTTGGGTGCACCCACTGCAGAATTTGGGGGGCGGACATTTCAATATTGGGGATCATGGCCACCTGTTCCCCACTCAGTAACCCTGGAGACTTGGATAGTTCCTTTTGGAAAGTGGGGGAAACACAACTATTTGCCCAGTGGAGGCTGGGCAAGGAAAAGGCTGTTTGTCTTAATTCTCATGTGCAAAGATGTGGGAGTGTGCCTTGCATCTGGCTGCTGAAAAGCAAGGAGAGGCAAGTGAGGGAGCTCTGGGTGCCCATAGGAATCCCCTGGCTTGAAGCAACAGAGTGCAATTTAGCAAATTAAACATTTTAATTGGTTTTCACAAATAGTTTTTTAACATCTCATGCTAAGCTCATTTCCTCTCATTTATCACACTATTCAGATCCTAAAGCTCTTGTAGCATACGACTTCCTAATTCCATGGATTGGTATGTATTTTCTCTCACTAATTTCATGTATTCCTGAATTTAATGTGATATTCTTGCATCGAGCATATACATATATTCTCAGCTTTCAAAGTTCAAAGTTCCTTTGGGTCTACGGGAAGCTGCTAGTATTTGTTAAGCTGGTGCCTTCCCCACTGGTGCCTTCCAGGAGGCTTCAGTGCCAGCTTTATTCCTTTGGCCAACTGATTTCTGCCCATTTTGCTCAGGAATCAGACTCTATAGCAGTGTTTCCCAACCTTTTTTGGGCAAAGGCACACTTGTTTCATGAAAAAAATCTCGAGGCACACCACCATGCCAGATGGGGAAAGGTCACTTTTTACTTATGTAAAAAAAAAAAAAAAAAAAATAGTAACAGCATAGAAGGTAATGGTTAGGCTAGCATCCCTCTTCCAAATATGCTAGGTTTTTATTTGCAGGGACTGTTCTACATGGGAAAGCATTCAGCACTGTCATTCTCCCATCTGCCATCTGAATTGGTACTATTCTGGGTCAACTTACTCTGCTGCATGTGTAGATGAAAATGGCACCAAGTGTGGGGGAGGGGGCAGAACAGGTTTCAGATACAGGATATTAAGCATACACGTACTTCAGATTGAACTGGTTGCTTGCTTTGCAAGTTTTCATTTCCCAAATGACTGCCTTGGCAAGAGCAATACCTACCAGGCTCAACGCCGGTCTCGCGCTGCCGCTTCCCGCGCTCTCAAGGACCCGGGAGGAGGAAGGCGTGAAGGGAATCCCGAAGGCGCGAAAACCTCACGCATGCGCAGGCCTTCCGCCTGCGACAGCCCAGTAGGCCGGCCGAAGTGAACGGCGATAGGATGTGGGAGGGAGCTCGCTCGCCACCCCGCGTGTGCCTATGTGGGGCACGTTACAGCCCCGTGACGTCAGCGCCACGCAGGCAGCCAGGCAGGCAGATGGCGAGAGCCCCGCGCTGGGCGGCCTCTCCTCGTCGCCGCCGCCCCGCCTCTCACCGCCCGACTCGCCCGCCTCCCTCCAGGCAACATCTCGCGGCACACCAGGCAACGTCTCGCGGCACACTAGTGTGCCGCGGAACACCGGTTGGGAAACACTGCTCTATAGGATGTTTCCCTACAATCTCAAAAGTCTGTCCTTATAGAGTCTATGAAGATGGACTTCTCGGGTTATAAGGAAATATACACACTGCATTCCATGTTTCAGAAATCCTTTAGTAGGTAAATAGATTCTTAACTTGAATTGTTCCAGCAATTAAGTCCCTACTTCAATGGGTCAAATATAGTGCTGTAAACCCTGTCATCTGTGGTGGATAATTTACCATGTGACCCTGGCCCTGGTGTATGTGCCTAAGAAAGACAGCATTATCTTGGGCTTCTGTTCCTCATTTTCCTTCCTTTCCCTGGCAGGAAGGGGGCTTCTCGTCCTGAATGGGCCAAAGTGGCAGCAGCACCGGAAACTGCTGACTCCTGGATTCCATTACAATATTCTGAAGCCTTATGTGACTCTTATGGCAGAATCAGTCAAGGAGATGCTGGTAAGAAACCCCATTGCTACTTTCAGGAGGTCAGCTCCAGTCTAAGAAGTTGCTCATCCACCTTCATGATCTCAGTCCTGCTTTGAGCAGACTCAGAGGGCCAGAGCAGACTCTTTCTTTGACCTGAAAGCCTCCTCTGATATACCACAAAGATCTTTTGAAAAGTTCAATTAAGAAGCCCCCATCAAAGTGTGAAGCTAGTTGAGCAGCCCTTTCGGTCTCAGGCAATAAGTTTGCAGCAGTATTGAATTCTAAAATTCCTTCATAAACCTGTGAACCTTAATATTGTCTTAATTAGTTCATTCACTTTCTCAAGATAAACAGATGCTGACTACCATTAGCTTTCTTTGTGTAATATTAAAATGCATCACTTTGAAGGGTTGTTCAGTGTTGTATTAGCTAGAATTGTATGCCAAAGCTGTGTTTACGTTTGCAGACAGCGTTTTTGACTGCAATGCCTGCTATCACCCTTTCCTTTGTAGTCCTGTGAACTAATGATCAGTTCATTAGCTCCTGAGAATCTCCTGACCTGTCTTCTTTGTTTCGGGGTACACATTCAGCCACCCAACCCTGAAGCATACAGCCAAGTCTCTCTCAAGGGACAGCTGCACATAATCTTAGCAAAACCATTTCCCAAATGCAAGGATCATTTGCAGGGGAAAGTTAATGGGCAGCATGGAGAATGCTCAATTCTGTCTCAGAAAATATAACTTATTCTGCAATTAACTATCAAAATCCATAGTTGGGCAGTCACTGACATACTTGACAATCTAAAGTTTTCATATATTGACCACAGCAGATCATATATTGTTCCAGTATCTAATAACGAATCATCTAATCATTCAAGAGACTTTCCCAGAATGAAACTTCTCATTTCTGTCCCTTTCCTAAAATATTAGGATACATGGGGAAAGCTGGTACCAAAGAATGGCACAGCATCAGTGGAGATGTTTGAACATGTCAGTCTGATGACTCTTGATACTATTATGAAATGTGCCTTCAGCTACCAGAAAAATGCTGAAACGGACAGGTGAGTATAAGATGCCTATTTAGGGCAAGGTGGGAGCCACAGGCCGATACAGTCTTTCTTTTTTGTGCCATGGGCTAGCAGTGACATGAGAAGCAAGCCCAACCTCTGCAATCTGCATATGAAGCCATTCAGGATGATGGACATCACTACATCATTCACGAGCAAATTCTATAGTTTAACTGTGCAAAGAAATACTTTCTTTTGTCTGTGCTGAATCTTCCATCGAAGAAGGAGTGGAACCACTACAAAACAATGCCACTCTCCCCTACCTCTGATCTGAAATAGAAATGGATCTAGAAAAGGGACTTTTAATAAACATGTCATCTAACCCTTTTTGTCTTCATTTTGTGCTTATATTTTTTTCTACTTTCCTACTGTCCACAGAGACAATTCCTACATTCAAACTGTATTTGATCTCAGCTATCTGTTCTATCAGAGACTGAAAACACCTTGGCATCACAATGATCTCATTTACCGGTTGAGCTCCAAAGGGCGTCAGTTTTACAAAGCTTGCAAAATAGCCCACCATCACACAGGTATGTAACTTTTACTCCCTGGCAACAACTTCTTCCTCCTCATCTCCCTCCTCTTCTTCTTCTGAGCTAATATATAAATTTATTTCATAATAGAAAATTCAAAAGCAAAAACATACTGTTCCAGTACTATTAGGAAAATTAAAAATTGTAACAGTGTTGGTATGATGTACAGTGTTGGTATGATGCTTCCCATGCAAGAGGGCCGTGTTCAGGACTAGCCTTAGCTATTCCACCCCCTGAAGGGATCCCTCTATACTGCTTCACAATTTCTTCGGAGGCTAAGCGAAGGGCCTTTACCTGTGCCCGTCTCAACTGTTTTCCTACAGCAGTTCTGTTGGGTCGTTATTCCAGAGTTCCCATCGCAAATAGAACATGCACCTGTAATGACACAGCTCTGGAGAATATGGAACATGTAATGCTCTTCTGTCCCAACTGGACAGATGAAAGATCTCGGTTTTTAACTCCTCTCATGAACAAGCTTCATCTCCCAATCCAGCCTTGGATAGTGTCCCTTTTTTTGCAGGATTCTGATTGTTGGATTACCGAGATGACAGCTAACTTCCTGCTCAGTGTGATGAAGAGGAAAGCGGCACTAACTTCTTCTTTAACACCACAGCTGCAGTCGATATGCCGCACAATCGAACGAAGTTCCAAGTAGCCTTATTGTACAAGGACAATGGAGCTAGGACAAATCTGAGGAGCTGAAGGACCCTTTAACGATCCTCCTCCAGCCTCAGCAGTTTTTTGTCTTTTTGTTTTTGTACTATCTGTCACTCGATGTTTTAAATCCCCTGTCGCTTTTGTTATCCCCCCTTTTTTTTCCTTTTTTTTTCTTTAAGTATTCGCCCAGGACGATATCTACCTTTACCTCCCCACCCCCATTTTATGTTGTTATTTCTATGTATATCATGCTATGGCCACACGGCTAATGCAATAAAATCTATTGATTGATGTACTAAGGGCATATAAAATGTAGGTGTGAAAAGAAGAGAGAGAAAAACAATTTAATATGGGTTAAATGATTAGTAACACAGTGGACTTATTAGGAAAGTTAGAGAAATGAGAAATCTAAAAAGGTTGAATATATTTGCTTGCCTCTTACACATAGCTTTATTCATTTCATACTGTTTGTTTTCAATGCAGAGAAGGTAATAAGCGAGAGGAAGGATTCCCTCAAGAATGAGAAAGAGCTTGAAAATATTCTGAAGAAGAGGCATTTGGACTTTCTGGATATTCTTCTTTGCGCAAAGGTAAACATTGTAAAAATAATGCACCTATGCCTGCCATGCTATATTGCTAAGGGCTTTTCCAGCCATCACTATTCTGTTCAGATGACAAAGCCCAAGCAAAACTCCCATGGTCTGCAATATATACATAAAATTGTAAGGCTGTCATCACACTGCAGTTTGTCTGGCTGCTGACAGGTGGCCCTGTCAACTCCAGCACAATGGCAGAATGGTGGGTAGGAACGAGTGAGCAAGCATCATGGGTGGCAGGTGGTCCAGGTGAGCTGTTTAATTGAGGGGGTGGTGCTTCAGAGAGCAGCTTGGCAAACTGCTTTCAGAAGCACCTCCCCCTTCTTTGATGTGAGCTGGGAGAGGGAGGAGGGTCTTGGAGAACTTTAAATATTGGATCTCACTAATCCTATAAAACACTATGTTCCGTGTGCGGTTAGGATGAAAATGGAAATCCATTGTCCGATGAAGACATACGTGCAGAAGTGGACACATTCATGTTCGAAGGTCATGATACCACAGCTAGTGGAATCTCTTGGCTCTTTTATTGTATGGCCCAGAACCCTGAACATCAGCAGAGATGCAGAGAGGAGATCATGGAGCTTCTTGGGCAACAGGACGAGATACAATGGTCAGACTAAATTCTTGTTCAACTTTAAATGTTTATTTCCTGGCTCATGTTATGAGGTTTCTGAAGGAGAGCAATACTGCAGAGTAGTTTAGGATCATAGTAGTCTGACCACAGGCCTCAGGTTGTGTAAGTTCCAGGGAAGATGGGCCAGTCCTATACTGTAGGAAAAGAAGCTCTGATTTCTATTTCTATATTTAAATCACTGCTATGGCTGCTGCACGGATGTACTGTAGCTAGTGTGGTCATGCTTGTATCGCCAAAAGTAATGCAAAAATCAAAATCTATTATCAAAAAGAGACAGCTCTTCAAAAAGTAGGACACAATTAGCCACCCTCACCCATTACTTCCATGAAAAGGTAACACAGCTACAACAGATGGGCTGTGGACTGAGCCCACCAATACGCCTGATCTCTAATGTCCTGATAACTTCTAAAGAGGGGAGCCTCCTCTATTCAGGTGGGATTCCTGCATGATTTGTTTTCCAGGTAGACCTGCATGGTTTAATTTCCCATAACAAACAAAAACAACAACCCAGTTTTGTATGCTGTATTTCATTCAATCAATCATTTAACTTATTTACTCATACTATAACAAAACAAGGTGTCTAACAGAATAAATTAAAATAAATAAACCTAAAACCCCCACAATCAATATAATTTTTTTTTAAAAAAGAAGTGCATAACCCTGCTAAAAATAGCCCTAAAAGCACAGATATTCACTAATATATGCATCTCCATGCATGTTTTAAGCTAGCATGTGCATTTTTGCACTTGTTAATTGGCTGGAGAAGTGCAAATTTTCAAGGGTGGCTGTGTTTCAGTTCACATCTTGTTCCAGACAGTGTGAGTAAGGTAAGTTCACCTTAAATAGGAACTGAATCAAATTTCTCCCCTCTCCCCAACACCTGTATTGAGCAAGGACAGCTTGGACAGTGGATTCCACCCTGTCTCCTTTTTCCTTCATCTTAATAAAACTTTATGTGACTTAACTCCAGTCATTTTGGGCGGTGTCTTTAAGGGACGACTTGGGAAAGATGACGTACAGCACCATGTGCATTAAGGAGAGCCTTCGGCTTTATCCTCCAGTACCTCTTATAGCACGAGAACTGAATTCTCCTGTGACTTTTGCTGATGGACGAACCTTACCAAAAGGTAGACTTCCCCTCTCTCCCTTCTGCAGACTTCCTTTGAACTTGTCCCTTCCTCTTCCATCTTCATTCTTACACAGTTCTCATTATTCAATTCCACTGTCACTTAACTTCCATCAAGGGTGCCTAACCTTTTGTGGTCCACATTCACCCTGCCAACTGTGATGCGGCCACCCCACACTCTTGCTTGCACACATTCACATTCGTGCACACAGGGAATATGTGGAGGACACACACAGGTGTACATGCCGACACAGAGGTACACAGCCCCTGTGTTCAGATGGACAATTTCTGGAGCTGCTAGGCCTTAGATGGACCATCTCTTGAGCCCCACCTACACCTAAATGAATTCCTTGGGCAAACAAATAAATATTACATGACCAGGAAAGCACAGTTGTATGCTTTCCAGCTGCCTTCCTGTACTCTGTGCAGGATCATCCTGGTTAGCCGTGCAACAACTCTGAAAATCTGCCTCTCTTTGCAGTAAGTTATTGAATGTTTTGGTAAATGCCACTGGATAGCAATTAATTCTCATTACATAATATCACTGCTGATGAAATGATACTAGATGATGTGTCTCTTTTTCCCCCACAGGCTTTCTAACTGCATTGGATGTTTATGGTCTTCACAGAAATCCTGAGATTTGGGACAATCCTGAGGTAATAATAAAAGGAGAAAAGCCTAAGCAAGACCTTTCTGGTGAGACTGAGAGAAGTTGACATGTTTTGAGGAAAAGATGGTGGAATAAGTGCCATAGACACATACAATTTCTTTAAGAAAAGAGGCCAATTGTTTGTCACACTAACACTGTGTGACTAGATGTGTGGATTTATCCCAGCGTTTTGTTTTACCAGTTTCTTGCTTGTTTTAGCTTACTAAACACACCCAGAAGTATTCCAGTTTGGAGGTGAGAAAGGCTGATTTAGTCCATTGCCCCATATCAATGGCCTAATACTAAACTATCTACCCCCTGGTATGATATTAGGTGTGGAGCAGAATCATATAAACAAAGGTGATGCCTGCATTTCCTTATGTGGATACTACCAGGTCTAGAGTGTGTGCATGAGAGAGAGATGCTGGTGAAAGTGTGTGTGTCTCTGTGTGTGTTTCTGCGCGTGTGTGCGCATGTAGAACCAAATTCCTCCCTATGCAATGACTCTGATCCAAATCCCTTTCCTGCCAGGAGCTGTTAGCAAAAAGAAAGATGTTTGGATATATCTTTGCACAACTCTGATGTCAAGCTTAGTGTGTCCCTCTACAGAATTGGATAAGAACAGTATGAGGAAGATACTGTACTAATTAAGCAGAGGAACAGGCCACATGTTGTGTAGTTATGATTCTTAAAATCTTGCTTAAGCACTTACAAAATGGCAAAGATCTATTGCAAAAAGAAAACCATTGCAAAATATATTGGCAAAGCTGCTGTGGAATCCTAATCCAGAAAACATTCCTAATCCACCTCAGGAGCTATGGGAGTATTCTGCCAAAAATCCACCCACCCACCAGTCCCTAAAGTGCTGCTTACAAAATCTGTGTAGGCTTCCCTCTCCATTCAAAGAGCAACTTCAGGAGCAACATCAGCACCACAGCAGGGGGGAAAGGTTAGCATTTCCCTCCCAAGCCCTGCAGGCCTGTTGCTGGTCAGACACTCCAATGGCTGTGTACAGTTTTAAAAACATGCACACTGATGCAATTAACATCATGTCTCATTTGGACCAGGCATTTATAGATTTGTCTCGTTTGGCCTGGGCATTTATTGATGTGAAGGAATTTTCCTTCATATTAGATTGGGGAAAACATATTGCTATGAGTGCAATCCTATAATCCTATACAGAACTAAGCCCCATGGAATTCAATGGGCATTATGACCTGGTAAGTGGGTATAGAACAGTATTCTTTTTTGTGAATGCCCCTTTTTCCTCTTTTGCCACTATATCTGTTGCCATTCTAATCCAAAATTCCACGACTTATTTTCTGTTGTAGGAATTTAATCCTCTAAGATTCTCCACAGAGAATTCAAAGCATCGCCACCCATATGCTTTCTTGCCTTTTGCTGCAGGGCCAAGGTAAATATTTTCTCACCTATACTTTGCGCTGTTCCCTCCATAAAAGGAGACTTTGACATTAATCTTCCATGAAAGACACAACTGTGTTCAAGGCTTATAAAACTGTGAATGAGTCCACAGCAAAGCAGAATTAACTGCCAGCATAAAACAATATACTTTATACTCAAAAGCTTAAAAGGGTTGGGCATATAAAAGAGAACAAAGATGGTGCCAGACATTCATTTCTGGGATGCGAATCCTAAAAGGGAAGGAGCAACAACCGAAAAGGCCCTGATTGGACCATCTGCGGAATGCTCTTCTGTTTGTAATGTAATGTTGCCCTTCATTCTACTCAGGAACTGCATTGGACAACAGTTTGCCATGAATGAGATGAAGGTTGCTCTTGCATTGACACTCCTGCACTTTGAGCTTTTTCCTGATCCTGCCAACCTCCCGATTCCCATGCTGCAAGTTGTCACCCGATCCATTAATGGGATATATCTGAAGCTGAAGGCTCTCCACTGATGGCTGCTGTTACCAGAGTAGTAATGCTTGCTTCAGGACTCTCAATTCCTGCCAATAAATACATACATGTCCCTGATAAAATATGTAAACATCCTACATGCAAAGAATTATTATTACAGTATTTTCCAATAACATTCATCTGGATCCAGCTATGACGTGGGGAAAAGGTGGGGATTTAGCGCCCATGGGGGGAACATATTAGAATGTGTGAGTAAGGGTTCCAGCTGTTTGCATATAACTACAGCACCAGCTGCCACAAACTTGTTCTGGCATTTTGAGCCAGCAGTGCCAGCCGAATCAGAAAGTCTTCAGAACTTATTCTCGATAGTGAGCAAAACAAAGCAGTGGGCAGCTGGCGATGGAGAATCTATTCAATCCCTTGTGGTCCTGGCTCCCCAGGAGTTTCTCTCTTTTTCTATTGGACTGTGATGTTGATTTTCACCTGCGTGGCTCTGAAAGCCATCCAGCTATTTCAGACAAGGCAGAACCTCATCAAGGGTTTTAGGAGTTTCCCAGGACTTCCCAGCCACTGGCTATATGGCCATGTCCTCATGGTAAGGGATTCTCTGACTTTCCTGGTGGGAAGGTGGGTCTCTCTTTGTAAAATTGCATTTCTCGATAAGGAACTGGGAATTGACTGGATTCTGTGTGCCTTTCAGTTGTGCCTAAAGAGTAGGGCACAGAATGACTACTTTCTGGAGCTTTGGTTCTGATTCATATTGTGTGATGAGAGGAATCCAACCACAGTGCTTTCTCTGTTTCATATCACATTCTGAAAGGATATTTTCTATGAAATGTGCTGTTTCATTATTGTTGTCATGCAGTTTTATTGCACCTGCAAGGCAACTGGTTTGGGTACCATGACACTGGTTTGAGAGAGCAGGCTCTTAGAACTTTAGTTTGGGTGGGCTATCCTGCCCTGTAATGTGGCTGGCCAGGGAATGTAGAATGGCCAGACACTGGGACGTGACATCTCTCACCACCCGTGAGGGACCAATAAATATTGGTAGGCACCATTAATATTAATATCATGCAGTGCACTTCTGCTCTTTTTATGAAGGGAATTGTTGTCCTCTCTTGGCATACAGAGGCTGGTTCAAGATCCAGCACCATTTCCAAATATAGATTCTTTCAGTATTTTGAGACTGCTGTGATTGTAATTATATTGTTTGGCAATTCCTTTTAAGCTCTCAGTCCAACCAGGTCATATTCAGAATAGACTTGTGGAAATAAATGCACTTGATTAACTTAAATCCATTGGCTTCACTGACTTTGTGGCTTGGAACGGAGAGCTTGGGTTATTTACAATATAAACTCTGATACCAGGACTTAATATGAATGGATTTATTTTTTTACACATTTTATATCACAGACCTAGAAATACTTTGGGTCCCCCCCATAAAACAAAGTATATATCATTCAGCTTAATAGTATATATGTCATAACTATGGTATTACAAGGATTATACAGGGGAAAGGCTGATCGTTTAGACTTTCTCATTCCCCCTCCATGTTCTCACATCAGCTGTTCTGGGGGAGGAGTCCTGAAGACCTTTTAATATGTCACGATTATTTCTTGTATTTTAAAATATGTAATTTACCTGTAAATCATCTTGGAAGGATTTATTTCCTGTACTGTGGGATATAAATAACTGTCATTAGAGAAGAATAAATAAATAACTCTAGATGTTGCAAATAAAAAAAATAATCGCATTGACTTCTTCTACATCTTGTGGAAATGTGTTAACTGTTTTTTAAAAATCCAGAGACTATTTTCTCCCCCCCCCCTTTTTTTAAAATAATTTTTATTAACAGGCCAATCACATCACATTATCACATTGATTCCAAATTATACAGCCAAATTTTAAATTTTGTTGAGGGTACCCATACATCAAGCTCAGCTCGAGTCCAAAACAGCATCACTTATCTTACTGCATTAATTAGACAGTTCTCTCCAGTTTGATCCGGAAAGTCCTTTGTTACTTCTTTTCTCTTCTTGTTGTTATCATAAATTCCTTTCTTTGCAATCTCTGATGATTTTCACAAGCAGGGCAACAGCTGGCATTCTGTGTGGATTTTGTACTTTTCCAAAAATCATATCGATCCGGGACAGCCTCTGTACAACGCTTCCATAAACAAAGTTAATCTCCGATCTGTCCTTTATTTTTCTCAGGCTTACCAAATAACAAATGAGTCTGGGGGTTCTGTCAGGTCAAACTTACATTCCAACATTCCTTCTCTTTCAAACAATCCTGATTCTCCTCCCCCAGTCCTTCTTTCTCGGACTTACTCTAGACAGTGAGCAGAACAAAACAGCAGTCAGCTGGTGATGGAGAATCTAATCAAACCCTTGTGGTCCTGGCTGCCGGGGAGTTTCTCTCAGTTTTCTATTGCACTGTGACCTCCCAGCCACTGGCTATATGGCCATGTTCACATGGTAAGGGAATCTCGGACTTTCCTGGTGATATGTTTGGTCTCCCATTGTAAAACTGTGCAGAACAGAAACAGAAAGAAAGCAGGTTTAAAATCTGATTAATGATTCAGATGAAACCTGAGGAGAAAAGAACTCATAAAGTCAAATAAATGAGAATTCGGAGCCCTATTCTTGCTCATCCAAATCTGCCCCTTTTTACTAACCCATGGGAGAAGGTATGAGAGCCATTTAAAGACAGCTCCCCAGTGTGCCAAGATTTGCTGAAAAGCAAAGAAAAGCAAATGAGGGAGCTCTGAGTGCCCATAGGAATCTCCCAGAATGAGGCAACATAGTGTAATTTAGCAAAGCATTTAAGTGTGTTCTTACAAATACTGTTTACAATGTCATGCCAACCTCATCTTCTCTCATTAAACTATTCAGTTCCTTAATCTCTTGCAATATACAGCTGCCCAATTCAATGGATTGGCCTGTATTTTCTTTCACTTCTTTTATGCATCCCTGTAGTTACTGTAATATTCTTGCATCCAGCATATACATATATGCCCAGCATTCAAAGTTCAAACTTCCTTTGGGTCTACAGGAAGCTGCTGTAGGTCAGTATAAGATGCCTATTTTAGACAAGGTGGCAGCTCCATGCAGATACAGTCTTTTCCCCCCTGTGCCATGGACCAGCAGTGGCACGAGAAGCAAACCCACAGTTGCAGCCAGCTCTGCAACCTGCCTATGGCCATTCAGAATGATGGCCTTCATTACATTTTGGGGAGTAAATTCTATAGTTTAACTGTGAAGAAATACTTTCTATTTTCTGTGATGAATCTTCCAACAGTCAGCTTCAATGGATGGGACTGGGTTCCTTCCTCTAGCCCCTGGATCCAATTGTTTAACCTTATTGTGGGATGACTAGCTTCATATAACTAGCATGCTTAAATCGGATTAATACATGAAGTGGTTAAGCCCATAATGTTAGCTGTCCTGCGAGGCTTAGCTCACATTGGGAGGGACTAGGTAATCCCAAACTAATTGGCAGCCAGTTCAGTCAGGCCAGGATTGCTGCAATATCATTGCAACCTGGTGAGCACAGCCTGAAGCTACTGTAACTATATTCAGAGATACACCCTATATATAACATGTCACAATACTCTAACATAAAGCTTTAATAATAATAATAATAATAATAATAATAATAATAATTGTACCCACCTGTCAGACTAGGTCACCCCAGCCTCTCTGGGCAGCTTCCAGCATATACAGAAGCATAATAAAACATCTATCAATAAAAACTTCCCTGTACAGAGCTGCCTTTACATGTCTTCTACATGACTTTTTAAATATGTAACAAATATTTGTTGTAGCTATTAAATATGTAATTTAATTGTAAGCCTTCTTGGAAATACTAATTTCCTGAACTATGGAATATAAATTACTGTGATAAGAGAAGAATGAATCATAAATCTAGACGTTGCAAATAAGAAAAATTATCACATTGACTTCTTGTACAACTTACGGAAATGTACAGTGGTACCTCTGTTTCCGAACGGGATCCGTTCCGGAGGCCCCTTCGCAACATGAAAAGAGCGCAACCAACAGCGGCGCGTCTACGCACATGAGGGTTATGATTCGCCGCTTCTGCGCATGCACATGATGTCATTTTGAGCTTCTGCGCATGCGCGAGCAGCGAAACCTGGAAGTAACACTTTCCGGTACTTCTGGGTCGCCGCAGGACGTAACCTGAAAGAACGTAACAAGAAGTGGACGTAACATGAGGTATGACTGTATTAACCATTTTTTTAAAAAAGGTTAACTAAGCAATCTAAATTTACACAAACTACCATATGACTAAAACAATAATTTTATAGAAAAGGAGACACTTTTTAGATATAACCCATGCATTTTTCCTTTCTTGAGCTAACTTAACCTAACCCCAGCTGGGAATCCATAGCTTAGTCCAGTAGCAGGTTTTGAAGAGCTCCAAGCTGCTAACTTCCTTCAACCAAACCCAGAGCAGTGCTCTTTTCCACCTTGAGCCCCAGATATTGTTGGCCCATAACTCCCATCATCCCTGACCATTGACTAAGATGGTGGAAAATTATATGGGAGTTGTGGGCAAACATCATCTGGGGACCCAAAGGATATTTTTGCAAAGCAATGTCATTAATAGAATGTGTTGTTTGGTTTCATTTTCCCAAATACATGCAGTGTATGTTGGAGAACTACACCACAAAATTCGGAGACGGGCAAATTTTGAATAATGTGCTTTGTTTCTTGTATTTTATTGTTTGAATTTTAAAAACAACAACAACAAAACAGAAATTGAATCCAATATGTCCCCTATCACTATTGGGGAATTTGCAGCTACTGGTATAAAGACTTCAGTTCCTGAGAGGAGACTGGCTCATGGGATGCCTCTGGCTTGATAGACCCTTTTCCAGAAGTATAGGATTCAGTCCATGCAGATGATGAGGGAAGCCCAACTGAAGCAGGGGTTGGCGGACAACATTTATTCAAACTGGAAGAAGTTGCTATTCCTCAGTAGAAACATGGAACAAAATATGAGGCAAACGTAAAATCAAAAACATATTTTCTTTGCGTGGACAGGCGGAGTCCCCAGATCCCGAGCGGTCCCCCCCGTCATGTGGAATAATGACTCAAGACAACGTGCTATGGGATTAAATTGGCCACAACTTTATTAAATTTCAAATGTAGGTAGACCTTGGCTCAGGCATTGGGCGTTCTCCCTCCCCAGTCCCCAGCCGGGGACCTAGGGAGCATCAGGGTTATCCAGTGTGTTGGGGGGGAGATGGGCTGGCTCTGGAGAACATATGTTCAAGCAGAGATAGCCGCCCCCGTTATGCCGCCGCAGGGGAGAGCAATGACGACCTTTCGGCGTACGGTCAAAGCCTCCCTTCAGAAACCCCCTTTAATGGGGAACCCTGGTATCGCCGCCGCAAAGAGGAAGATGGACTAAAGGATTCCGCCCAAGGCCTGATACCGCCAAAGTTGTGACATTTTGCTACGGGAAAGGCGAAACCTGCCAATGCAGGGAAATTCCTTTCCGGCCCTTTAACAGCGACCTTAACGTAGCAGCGCCCGCATACCTGTGAAGAAAAGTTAACCTGCAAAACCTGTGAAGAAAAGTTAACCTGCAAAATAAGACATTAACTGAGGGTGGGTAGGGTGGGAGAAGCTCTGGAGCCAAGTGAGGATTCCCAGGTAAGATCCTCCCTCTATTGTGTGGGCAGGTAATCCCTCCCCTACCTGGCCTGGTCTCCTTGGCAACGCTTCCCCCAGGTGGGATTGGACAACTGACTGAGGCAGGCGGAGACCTCCAGGTATCCCACCTGAGGGAAGGGAAAGCCAAGCCTATGCTGATGGAGCCGCTCCAGATCTAGGGGCTGCGCACGTCCACGCAAAGGGCGCCCCCCGTTTTAAGCGGGGAGCGGTCATTCCTATCAAATGCCCTTCTCTATATCAGTCCTCCCTGAAGTCACTGTGATATCTTCTTTGAATATCAGTGAATTCTGGGTATACCAAATACTTCCACTGATAAAGTACATTATTACCCTGCATATAGTTAATTAAAACAACATTTCCCAATAACAGTGACCTGGTCCAGATCTGAAGTGAGGAAAAGAGGAGGATTCAGCACCCAGCGGGTAAAACTAATGAGAGTGTGTGGGTGGAAGTTTAAACAGTTCCCAGATTCCCGCAGCAACACCTGCCACAAAGTTGTTTTAGTAATTTGATGCAGCTCACAAGACAAAGCCAGCAAAACAGCAAACCTTTTGAGGACTTCTTCTAGCTACAGGAGCAAAGCAAGCAGCAGGCAGCTGGTTATGGAAATTGTCATCAATCTCTTGTGGTCCTGGCTACCGGCGAGTCCCTCTCAGTTTTTCTATTGGACTGTGGTGTTGATCTTCATCTGCGTCGCTCTGAAAGCCATCCAGCTATTCCAGACAAGGCAGAAACTGATCAAGGGGTTTAGGAGTTTCCCAGGACCTCCCAGCCACTGGCTGTATGGCCATGTCCACATGGTAAGGGAATTTCTGACTCTCCTGGTGAGATGTTGGGTCTCTCTTTGTAAAATTGCATTTACTGATGATATAGCTGTTTTCTTATATCCACAAGTGAAGCTATTACCACACTATCAAAGCTATAGACAAACTTGGGAAGTGTTGCAGGACTCACCATAAACAAGGATAAATCTCGTTTTTGTTGTTGTTGGCATGCAAAGACTACATCAGGAACACAGAAAGATAGATGAAATCAATGGATTTAAACTTTATGATGTGACAGAATAATTACTTTCTTGCCAAGTGTTTTCTCAGCTTCATGTCACATTCTGAAAGGATATTTTCTATCAAATGTGCTGCTTCATTAATGTTGTCATTGAGTCTGCTGGCATCTGCAAGGCTTGGGGACGGCTGTGCTGGTTCAGCAGACTGGGCTCCACTCACTGGCTGCACATGATTGGACAGTTGGAACTTTAGATTTGTCCAAGGAATCTACATTAGCTAGTCACTGGGACGTGACTCCTGGCACCTTCTGAATGGAGGACCGACAACAAGGGGCCACAGCTGCTGCCCACTAGGAGCAGCGTACACGGCCATTGTGGGCCTAGTCATAGCCCCCTCCCTACTGTGTGAAGGAAACGGCTATGGTGTAATGGAACATACTTGACAAGACAACAATTTGGGAGGGGGGAAGGCCACAACTTTATTGATTACAGGTGTAGGTAGACTTTGGTTCAAATCTATATCCATTTCATTTTCCTGTTGGAGTGCTGAAATTTTGAACAGGGTATTGCCACATATTGTGGCCTCCCTAATATGCTGATCTCTAGTTCCATATTCAACCTCTAACCCTGACTCCCATATTTGGCATGCAACAGTTTGCATTTGTGATGGACCTGTTTCTCTTATCCAATGTTACCTAAAGTTGAAGAATGATTCACAGATTCAGGCATAAATATTATATTATAATTTTATGTATAATGTTTCAATTTATTCCAACAGGAAAAAATGCTTTTCTAAATGTACTCTTTGGTGGCTGTTTTTTCTTCTTAACATTTATAGTTCAATGGCTTATTCATGCTCAACCAGTGTGCGTTCTTCTACACCTGAGAGTCTGAAATGAAATTGATAATGGGAGGCCAATGCAGAATAGAAAGAAACAAGTTTAAAAAGACTGTGGTTTTAGGATTGAGCCAAGTGGGTGAATTATTCCTTTGTTACATATGCATCCCAGCTGAAAGTTATACACTATTACATTACCTGATTATCTGTTTTCATCCTGAACTAAACATTTAATCACAATAACTAAGATGTAAACTGGTTACCGATACAGATGAAACCTGAGGAAGAATTCCTGAACGCAGCTGCATGGACAGAAAAGTACCCGCACTGTTATCCACGTTGGTATGGAAATTTCTTGGCTTTCCTGTGCATCAACCACCCCGAATATGCAAAGACCATGTACAGCAGAGGCGGTAAGAAATGTGTATCTTATGTCCCTCTCATTGTGCAGTTACATGAGTATGCTGGAGGCTGTCAAAATTATTCATGCAGTAAGTTGCATTGCTCTTTGTAAGGCAAGAAATAAATGTAAGTGATTCATATTTCAAGGGCATCCTAAAGCAACCTTCCCCAACCTGGTGCCTTCAAGATGTTTTGAACTCCAATTCCCATCAGTCCCTCACTGCCAGGCAAAGAACTCCCAGCTCCCAGCTCTAATTCTACCCAAGTCTTTAATGCTCAAATCAGATTGGTAGAGAAGGCACACACCCTTTCTTCACCTGAAGCTTGTCCAAGGTCTTAAATCCATTTTTTTATCTTAAGAAATGGAACTAGGTGCGCTCATGAAGGAGATCCGAACTCCTTTGAGGGCTTTCCATCCAGTGCCCCCACCCCCTCCTTCTTTACGAACTTGGGGGTGGTTTGTTGGGCATCCACGGATGAGACTGCCTCTTCCTTTACACCAGGAAGAATTTGGGAGGCTGATTACTCCCATCTCAGCCTCTAAATTACCTCGTGGGAGCTGGAGAGATGGTATTGTCAGCCATCTTTCGTGGCGCCCCTAGCAGAGCCCTCAGCATGCCAGGCACTCCTGTCTTCCACTGCCTCCCGCAGTTTGGTCAAGCTCATGCTGGTAGCTTCGAGAACACTATCCAACCATCTCGTCCTCTGTCGTCCCCTTCTCCTTGTGCCCTCCATCTTTCCCAACATCAGGGTCTTTTCCAGGGAGTCTTCTCTTCTCATGAGGTGGCCAAAGTATTGGAGCCTCAGCTTCACGATCTGTCCTTCCAGTGAGCACGGAGGGCTGATTCCCTTAAGAATGGATAGGTTTGATCTTCTTGCAGTCCATGGGACTCTCTAGAGTCTCCTCCAGCACCATAATTCAAAAGCATCAATTCTTTGGCGATCAGCCTTCTTTATGTACTCTCAGCTCTAGTTCTCCCCAAACCTTTAATGCTCAAATCAGATTGTTAGATAAGGAACATTACAGGCTACAAAGTTCAAAAGATACATTAGAGACTGGGATACTACCTTTTGGAAATTGGGGAAACACAATTATTTGCCCAACGAATGGCCAGAATCCCCAAGGCTGGGCAAGGAAATGGTCACACTTTGGAGTAAGCTGGGCCTGCAAAGGTTGTTCCTCTTAATTCTCATGTGCAAAGATGTGGGAGTGTGCATTGGATCTGGCTGCTGAAAAGCAAGGAGAGGCAAGTGAGGGAGCTCTGGGTGCCCATAGGAATCCCCTAGATCCAGGCAACAGAGTACAATTTAGCAAATGAAACATTTAAATTTGTTCTCAAAAATAGTTTTCTCTCATTTATCTCACTATTCAGATCCTAAAGCTGTTGTAACATACAGCTTCCTAATTCCATGGATTGGTATGTATTTTCTCTCACTAATTTTATGTTATGTATTTACTGTCGAAACAAAATGAAAAAAAAATCCTTCCAGTAGCACCTTAGAGGCCATCTAAGTTTGTGTCGGAATTCACAGAATGCTGTGTGAGATAGTAAGTCTGCAGGCTTGAGTTTGCTAGCTGATGCAACTGGCTGATGCAATCAGCCTGCAATACTTTCTATGGAAGTGCTGGGGCAGAATGACCCAGCGGTAATGTGCTGTCAGTTGATTGGCTGTCATCGGTTTAAAAGGGAAACCTGTCCAGCAGTAAAGGGTTGGTGTAGAGGAGTGTGGTCAGAGAGAGAGAGAGTCAGAGGTCTTCCTATTTGCCTTAAGGTGCAGCCAGGTACAGTGGTGCCCCGCAAGACGAATGCCTCGCAAGACGGAAAACCCGCTAGACGAAAGGGTTTTCCGTTTCTGAGTTGCTTCGCAAGACGATTTTCCCTATGGGCTTGCTTCCCAAGACAAAAACGTCTTGCGTGTCTTGCAATTTCCCCCCCGCTTTCCCCCTGCTTTTTCTAAGCCGCTAAGCCGCTAATAGCCTTTTAGCAGCTTAGCCGCTAAGCCTTTAATAGCCGCTAAGCCGCTAATAGCGCTAATCCGCTTAGGGTTGCTTCGCAAGACGAAAAAACCACTAGACGAAGAGAATCGCGGAACGGATTCTTTTCGTTTTGCGAGGCACCACTGTACTCTGTTTGACTGTATGAACTGCTCGTGTATTATAGCCTGTAGATTATTATGTGTGTGTGTGTATCTCACAATAAATATACTTCACTGCACTGAAGAACCTGGAGCTCTGAGCTTTTCTGCTAAAGCACCGCAGAGAATTCACAACAATTTGTTATTGTTATGAGCTTTTGTGTGCATGCACACTTCTTCATATGGACAAAAGAAATGGATTTAGTAATGAATTTTCAAGGTTTGAAAAAGAATTAGGAGGAAATCATGTAGAATTACTTTCAAAAATGTATAAAATGTTATTAAAGTGGCATACGAAAGATGAAGTTAAATTAGTAATGATACAATGGGCAAGACATTTCGGATATTATATACAGTTTCATCACGGGAAAAGTTATGGAGGGAGGATTTAAAATTTACAGCATGTTGTATATTGAAAGAAAATTATATGAAAATGATGTATCAATGGTATCTGACCCTGAGTAAGTTAGCAAAAATGTATAGGACTGGGTCAAATACATGTTAGAAATTCAAAAAAAGGAAGTCATTACATTATCCTATGTAGTGGAAGTGTAAGGTAATAAAGTATTCTGGAAAATGATATATAATGAGTTGGAAAAAAATGTTTAAAATAACAAAGGAGAAGAAATACCAAAGGAGCAGAAAATACTGTTTATGTACTCAAAGACAGCTGTGCGAATGTTTCTAGCCCAGAGGTGGAAGGAAGACAAAATCCCTATTAGAGAAGAATGGTTGATCAAGTTGATGGACTGCGCCGAATTGGCAAAAATGACTGGAAATATCAGAAACCAGGAAGATAATTTTTTTAATAAGGAATGGGGGAAAAATATTTTACCAGTCTCCTGTGTCATTCTTGTGGCCCTCCCTTCACCTGCAGTGGCCATTATGCACCTATGCTGACAAATATTTGCACTGCCAGTGCTGCATTTCTAGAAAAAGAGGTACTGGGTCTCACCATGACCCCCTTGCTTGTTCTCTTATAATGACAATGGCAGCCTTCTGAGAGGTGCAGAAACTGAGTTCTGGAAAGTTCTGACCCCTACCCCGCAAACCATGTTTCAGAAATCCAGTAGCAGGTGCACGGATTCTTATGGAAGGGAGCTTCCTAACTTGAATTGTTCCACCCAGGAAACAATTAAGTGCCTACTAACATGGGACAAATATAAGAATGGGGGGAACTTCCTACTGTAGACTCCTTCCTCTGTGGTGGATAATTTAACATGTGACCTTAGTGCATGTGCCTGAGAAAGACAATGCTGTCTTTGGCTTCTGTTTTGCATTTTTCTCCCTTCTCCTGACAGGAAAGGGGCTTATTACCTTGAATGGGCCAAAGTGGCAGCAGCACCGGAAACTGCTGACTCCCGGATTCCATTACAATATTCTGAAGCCTTATGTGACTCTTGTGGCAGAATCAGTCAAGGAGATGCTGGTAAGAAACCCCATTGCTACTTTCACGAGGTCAGCTCCAGTCTAAGAAGTTGCTCATCTACTGCCGTGGTTATAGTCCTACTTTGAGTAGACTCATAGGGCCTTTAAATTTTTCTTTTTCTTTGACCAGACTTCCTCTGCCTTATCCCAAAATATTTTGAAAAGTTTGAGTCAGAAGCCCCTGTCAAAGTGTGAAGCCAGTTGAGCAGCCCTTTGGGTTGCAGACAATGAGTTTACACCAGCATTGAATTTTAAAATTCATTCACAGACTTGTGAACCTTAATATTGTCTTAATTAGTTCATTAACATTTTCAGGACAGACAGATGCTGACTACCACCAGCTTTGTTTGTTGAGTATTTAAACGCATCACTTTGACAGGATGTGCAGTGTTGTATTAGCTTTTCAGCCAGAGTTTGGGACTGGGATGCCTGCTATGTGCTATCACTTTTTGCTCTATAGCCATGTGAATTAATGAACAGTTCATTAGCTCCTGAGAACCTCCTGAACTGTCTTCTTTCCTTGAGAGTCCACATTCAGTCAGCAACTTCTGAAGCACACAGCTAAGTCTCTCTCAGAGGACAGCCACACATCACCTTGGCAAAACCATTTCCCAAATGTAGGGGTCATTTCAGGGGAACATTAGTGGGCAGCATGGAGGTGCATTACGTTCAGTGTGAGACAATACTGCTGTAGGCTGTATGGAATTAGGGAAGGAGAAAGAAGGGGGAGACACAGTAAACATTCATTCTATTACATTAAACAGCAAAATCCATTGTTGGACATATTTGATGATCCATCTAATCATTCTAGAGACTTCCCCAGAATGAGACTTCTCATTTCTGTCCCTTTCCTAAAATATTAGGATATATGGGGAAAGCTGGTACCAAAGAATGGCACAGCATCAGTGGAGATGTCTCAACATATCAGTCTGATGACTCTCAATATTATTATGAAATGTGCCTTCAGCTACCAGAAAAATGCTGAAACGGACAGGTGAGTATAAGATGCCTATTTCAGACAAGGTGGGAGCCACAGGCAGATACAGCCCTTCTTTTCTGTGCCGTGGGCTAGCAGTGACATGAGAAGCACGCCCAAGATTCCAGTCACTTATGAGATGTGCATATGGTAAACACAGCCATTCAAGATAATGGCCATCTTTGAAGAGCAAATTCTATAGTTTAAGTGTGAAGAAATATTTTCTTTTGTCTAGGCTGAATCTCCTGCCTCTAGCCTCTGGACCAATTTGTTTGTCCTTATTGTGGGATAACCAGCCACATATAACCAGCATGCTTGAGTCAAATTAATGCATGAAGGGGTTAAGATCATAGAGGAAGCTGTCCTGCCAGGCTTAGCTCACCATGGGAGGGGCTAGGTAATCAGAAACCTATTGGCAGCGAGTGCAGTCTGGCCAGGATTGGTGTAATATACTCAAACCACCTTGCCCTGGAGAGCTACCTGGCTGCCAAATTCTACACCAGCTGAAGTTTCTGAAACTGTCTTCAGAGGCAGCCCTATGAATAAATCAAGCCTAGAACCAAAATTATTATATAAGGATTCCAATGGAATAATAATAATAATAATAATAATAATAATAATAATAGCAAATCAAGGGGAAGAAATGATAATAGTAGGAGCATATGCACCAAATGAAAAGAAGGCTTAATTCTATAAGGAATTAGAAGATAGAATGCTGGAATACATGGAGGAAAAAATAATACTGTTGGGAGATTTAAACGGGGTAACCAACCCAGAGTTGGACAGATCCTCAGGAAGAAAGGAAGGAAAAGAAGGAAAGCTCCCGCGTGGTTTCTTTGATTTGATAGAAAATTTGGAATTAAAAGATTCATTGAGGTTTAGACCAGTGTTTCCCAACCACTGTTCCGCGGCACACTAGTGTGCCGCGAGATGTTGCCTGGTGTGCCGCGGGAAAAATTAAAAAATTGAAAGATTTTTTTTTTTAAAGTCAAATTTTTGATTGGGGCGCCGTCACTAGATGACCCCTGGGGTTCCCTCCCTCCCTCCCGCTCTGCGCCTCCCTCCTCCTCCTCCTCCGGGGAGGCCCTTCCTGGCTCTCGGCCAAGGCTTGGCGGCTGCCACTCACTCACTCGCTCGCCCACCCGTCCCTCCATCCCTGCACCCGGCCTCTCCCCCTCCGTCCCCGGCGCGGGGGCTGCCAGGATCCGTAGTCCCCTCGCCCTTGGGCTCCGCGCCCGCGCGGGGTGCGCGAACTACGTTTCCCAGCGTGGCCTGGCGGGCCGGGCGTTTTGTTTGAAGCGCTCTTCTCCCGGCCATGGAATGAGCGCAGCGGCGGCGGCCGGGCGGGCAGGGGCTCTTCCGCGCAGACCCCGCGCAGCCTGCCTGCGCCCCCCGGAGATCGGGCGGCAGGATGGAGCCAGGGGATCCCCGCGGAGGCGGAGCGGCGGAGGCGGAGGCTGCCCCCCAGGTAGGGCTGCGTCGGGGGTTTTTTATTTTTGCAATGCTGCATCCACGCCGGAGGGGACGCATCGGACCGCGGGGAGACCCCTTGGCGGGCGTGCAAGGCAATGCATTCGTGCAGGCGTTGCATGGAGTGCAGTGCAATGCAATGGCAACGCGGTGCCCTGCATGCATGCATGCAACTTCCACCGGTGCTCCGGACTTGGCAGGTGAGGGGGGTCCCCAGTGGGCGGCAGAGAGAGCCGGGAGGGCGAAGGGGAGCCGGGGGGAGCAGCGTTGCTCCCCGAGCCGAGCCCGGGGGGAAACTTCGGCGTCGTTGCGCCGGGTGTTGGAAGCGGAGGCTGGCGGGGGCCCCTCACCTGCAAAACCTGGTCGCCTCTCATATATTTCATGCATTGCATTCATCGCCCGCTTTCTCCTCCAAGGAGCTCCCGGGGGCGCGCGTGGTTCTCCCCGTGTTATCCTCGCAACAACAGCCCTGCGAGGTGGGTCAGGCGAGTGGCCCAAGGAAGCACCCAGGGATTGTCCTGGCCAGGTGGGGTGATTTGAACCCTGCTCTCTGCCCGGTCTTCGTCCTCATTTAGCCCCCACATGTGCATGACTGTGCATGACTGAGGTTTTCCCCCCTCGTCTTGGCTATGGTGTGAGTCTGTGCTGTTAATTAATGGGGTTCTGCCTTCGGAGAAGATGAGCCAGCCCTCAAGGAGGTGATTATGCAATTTGCTAGCAATTCATGTCTCTCCCGGCGTGACGCTGTGCGCTGACGTCACGGGGCTGTAATGGTGGTGTGCCTCGAGATTTTTTTCATGAAACAAGTGTGCCTTTGCCCAAAAAAGGTTGGGAAACACTGGTTTAGACATTTGACAGAAAAAGATTTTACTTGTTTTTCAAAGCCAAATAATTCTGTCAGCAGAATGGATGCTATATGGATTTCCAAGGCACTATTAGGGAGAGTAGATAAGACAGAGATTTTACCAAACACTATCTCAGATCATAACCTAGTGTTTTTAAATTTAAAAAGAGGTGGGACAAAAGGAATAAGATAGAGACTTAATGAATCTCTGTTAAATGATGAGAAAATAGTACAAGATGCAAAAGAAGAAGAAGAGGCAGTGATTAGGGGTTATTTTATACGGCAAAACTCTATTCAAAGAAAAGAAAAAGAAAGAAAGCAGAACTATTAGAAGAAATAAATAAGAAAGAAAAGGAACTTATTAAGAAAGTAATGAAACAAGAAATCAAGTTATTACAATCAGATTATACACCTATTTTAGAACAAGAAATTAAATGGAATTTGAAAACCTTAAAACATAAAAATTTTGAATTTGCTAACAAATTCAATTTGCTAACAAATTTGCTAAGTTTCTAGCTAGGCAATTCAAAAAAAGGCGGAACGAGAAACTAATTAATAGACTGAAAATAGGAGAAAGTTATAGATGACCCAAAAATGATTACACAAAGTTTTGTGAAATATTACAAAGAACTATATAAAAAGGAAATAGAAAACCCAGAAGAAATAGATCAATATTTAAGTTAACATAAAATTCCTAGTAGTACACAAGAGAAAATAAAGATGTTAAATACTCCTGTCTCAATTATAGAAATTAAAAATGCAATAAAAAATGCCAAATCAGGGAAAACTCTGGGCCCAGACGGAATTCCTGTGGAGTTCTATATAAAATTAGAAGACACACTGGTAACCCCTTTGAAAGAAGTAATGAATGAGATACTTAATAGAGGGAAAATACCAGAATCATGGACTGAAGCCTACATTACACTTTTACCTAAACAGGGAAGTGATTTTGAATTAACTTCTAACTATAGACCAATATCCCTGTTGAATTGTGATTATAAACTTTTTGCTGGCATACTAGCAGACAAGTTAAAAAATGTTTTAAAAGAAATAATACACCCAAACCAAGCAGGATTCTTACTGGGAGGGCAAATCCAAAATAACACAAGGAATATTGTCGATATACTGGAGTATCTGGAATTTAAAAACGATAAACTGGCAGCTTTGATGCTGATAGATGCAGAGAAAGCATTCGACAATATTTCCTGGTATTTTATGAAAAGACAAATTAAATTAATGGAATTTGGAGAAAGATTTGAAAGGGGGATATAGGTAATCTATCACCTGCAAAAGGCAAGGTTGATAATAAATGGCAATGTCACAGAAAACATTGAGATTATGAAAGGCACAAGGCAAGGATGTCCTTTGTCACCCCTTCTATTTATACTGGTGTTGGAAACCCTAATGCAAACCTTGAGAAAAGAGGAAACAGTACCTCAGCCTTATCTTTATTGATCTTCAGCTTTTTTTGGCTCTAATCCAGTCCACTACCAAGCTAATACAATGTTCCAACACATCTACTGCCACAGCTGTGAATGTAAAGGAGAAGGTGAACAGTGTGTGTTGCTGACAACATACTCTAAAGCTCTGGATAAAACTACTCAAAGTTTCATGTAGATGTTAAGCAGCATGGGGTATAAAATTGAATCCTTAGGAACCCCATAATGAGGGCTCCATGGGGCTGAAGAGAACTCCCCAAGCTTGCATCACCCCCTGGAAACAGCCATAAAAGTAAGACCAGAACTGTGCCACCCACTTCAGATCTCAGACTGAAAGGAGCTAGAAATCGGATTTTTAATAAATATGTAACCTACACTTTTTTGTCCTCATTCTGTGAATATATTGTTTTCCACATTCTCACTGTTAACAGGAAAACATCCTACATTCAGACTGTATTTGATCTCAACTCCCTCATTGATCACAGAATCAAAACACCATTTTATCAGAGTGATCTCATTTACTGGTTGAGCTCCAAAGGGCGTCAGTTTTACAAAGCTTGCAAAATAGCCCACCATCACACAGGTATGTTATCTTTTCTTTCTGGCAACAACTTCTGTGGGAAACCAGAAAGTGGAACCTAAACACAAGAGAATTCTCCTCTCCTGTGGTTCCCAGCAACTGGCATTCAGCAGCCCTAGTGGACTAAAATTTGGACTGAAAAGTGGTTAGCTCTTCAAAGTTCAGCCAATAAAAGGTTTCATAACCACAAGCACAACACTATCTAAATGATGATGATGATGATGATGATGATGATAAAAATATTTTTTTTTATTTATACCCCACCCATCTGGCTGGGTTTCCCCAGCCTCTCTGGGTGGCTTCCAACAGAATATTAAAATACAATAATCTATTAAACATTAAAAGCTTCCCTAAACAGGGTGCCTTCAGATTTCTTCTAAAAGTCTGGTAGTCGTTTTCCTCTTTGACACCTGGTGGGAGGGTGTTCCACAGGGCAGGTGCCACCACTGAGAAGGCCCTCTGCCTGATTCCCTGTAACTTGACTTCTCGCAGCGAGGGAATGACCAGAAGGCCCTTGGCACTGGACCTAAGTACACAAGCAGACCGATTGGGGTGGAGACACTCCTTCAGGTATAGTGGACCGAGGCCATTTAGGGCTTTAAAGGTCAGCACCAACACTTTGAATTGTGCTCGGAAACATACTGGGAGCCAGTGTAGGTCTTTCAAGACTGGTGTTATGTGGTCTCGGGGGCCGCTCCGAGTCACCAGTCTAGCTTCCGCATTCTGGATTAGTTGTAGTTTCTGGGTCACTTACCTCTTTTGCGGTTTTTTATATATGCTGTAAGCTGCCCAGAGTGGCAGGGTATAATAATAATTATCATCATCATCATCATTCATTCATTCATTTCATACTGTATGTCTCCAATGCAGAGAAGGTAATAAGAGAGAGGAAGGATTCCCTCAAGAATGAGAAAGAGCTTGAAAAGATTCTGAAGAAGAGGCATTTGGACTTCCTGGATATTCTTCTTTGTGCAAAGGTAAACATTGTAAAAATAATGCACCTATGCCTGCCATGCTATTTTGCTAAGGGCTTTTCCAGCCATCACTAATCAGTTCAAATCAGTTCAGCCCAAGCAAAATTCCCATGCTGTAATATATACATAAAATTGTAAGACTGTCATCACACTGTAGTTTGTGTGGCTGCTGACAGGTGGCCATGTTAACTCCAGCATGATGGCAAAATGGATGGTGGGCACGTGAGTGAGCAAGCACCATGGGTGGCAGGTGGTCCAGGTGAGCTGTTTAATTGAGGGGATGGTGCTTCAGATAGCAGTTTGGCAAATTGCTTTCTGAAGCATCTCCCCTTTTTTGAAAGGCTTTGGGGTGAGCTGTGAGAAGGAGAACAGTCTTGGAGGATTTTAAATAATAAATAAATCTCACCAATTGTATAAAACACTATGTTCTCTGTGCGGTTAGGATGAAAATGGAAATCCATTATCAGATGAAGACATACGTGCAGAAGTGGACACATTCATGTCTGCAGGTCAAGATACCACAGCTAGTGGAATCTCTTGGCTCTTTTATTGTATGGCCCAGAACCCTGAACATCAGCAGAGATGCAGAGAGGAGATCATGGAGCTTCTTGGGCAACAGGAAGAGATACAATGGTCAGACTAAATTCTTGTTCAACTTTAAATGTGTATTTCCTGGGTCATGTTATGAGGCTTCTCAAGAATTAAGAGAAGATGAGACAGAACAATATTGCAGGGTAGTTTAGGATCAAAGCAGTCTGACCACAGGCCTCAGCTTGCTTAAGTTCCAGGAAAGATGGGCCAATCCTATAGTGTAGAAAGAGAAGCTCTGATTTCTATTTCTACATTTAAATCACTGCTATTGCTGTTACACTCATATACTGTAGCTAGTGTGGTCAGGTCTGCATTGCCTAAAAATAATAAAGGAATGAAATATATCACAAAAAAGAGGTAACACTGGGGGACAGTGATTTATATAAGTTTGTCATGTGAAGATTTATATGTAGAGATGCAAACTGAATAGCAATTCTTAGAATTTAAACAAATATAGCCTCACCAGGGTGCTGCAGCTACAAGGTCCTTCTCCTAAATTCTAATGTTCTTAAACTGGAATTGGACCAGACAGATGAAGAGGTAACACAGTTACAATAGATGGGCCCTATGTCTCACCGATATTCCTGGTCCCTAATGTCCTGAGGGATAACTTCTAAAGAAGGATGCCTCCTCTATCCATGTATGCTCCCTGCACGATTTAGAACATCTGGTTTGATTTCCCATAATAAAATGTAGGGTTGTATGCCGTACCTCATTTATTTATTTATTTATTTAACTTGTTTCTTTCTCTTAGCACAGAACACAAGGTGGCTAATTACATAAATTTAAAAAGATACAGCTAAAAATAAGTGCACAACCCTGTTAAAAAGCACAGAATATATTCATAATAATATAATAAATTATTATTTATACCCACCCATCCAGCTGGGTTTCCCCAGCCACTCTGGGCAGTTCCCCAACAGCTTAAAAACAGTCATAGAATCATAGAATCATAGAGTTGGAATAGACCACAAGGGCCATCGAGTCCAACCCCCTGCCAAGCAGGAAACACCATCAGAGCACTCCTGACATATGGTTGTCAAGCCTCTGCTTAAAGACCTCCAAAGAAGGAGACTCCACCACACTCCTTGGCAGCAAATTCCACTGTCGAACAGCTCTTACTGTCAGGAAGTTCTTCCTAATGTTTAGGTGGAATCTTCTTTCTTGTAGTTTGGATCCATTGCTCCGTGTCCGCTTCTCTGGAGCAGCAGAAAACAACCTTTCTCCCTCCTCTATATGACATCCTTTTATATATTTGAACATGGCTATCATATCACCCCTTAACCTCCTCTTCTCCAGGCTAAACATGCCCAGCTCCCTTAGCCATTCCTCATAAGGCATCGTTTCCAGGCCTTTGACCATTTTGGTTGCCCTCCTCTGGACACGTTCCAGTTTGTCAGTGTCCTTCTTGAACTGTGATACCCAGAACTGGACACAGTACTCCAGGTGAGGTCTGACCAGAGCAGAATACAGTGGCACTATTACTTCCCTTGATCTAGATGCTATACTCCTATTGATGCAGCCCAGAATTGCATTGGCTTTTTTAGCTGCCGCGTCACACTGTTGGCTCATGTCAAGTTTGTGGTCAACCAAGACTCCTAGATCCTTTTCACATGTACTGCTCTCAAGCCAGGTGTTACCCATCTTGTATTTGTGCCTCTCATTTTTTTTGCCCAAGTGCAATACTTTACATTTCTCCCTGTTAAAATTCATCTTGTTTGTTTTGGCCCAGTTCTCTAATCCGTCAAGGTCGTTTTGAAGTGTGATCCTGTCCTCTGAGGTGTTAGCCACCCCTCCCAGTTTGGTGTCATCTGCAAATTTGATCAGGATGCCCTTGAGTCCATCATCCAAGTCGTTGATAAAGATGTTGAATAAGACCGGGCCCAAGACAGAACCCTGTGGCACTCCACTAGTCACTCTTCTCCAGGATGAAGAGGAACCATTGATGAGCACCCTTTGGGTTCGGTCAGTCAGCCAGTTACAAATCCACTGAGTGGTAGCATAGTCAAGTCCGCATTTTACCAGCTTCTTTACAAGAATATCATGGGGCACCTTGTCAAATGCCTTGCTGAAATCAAGGTAGGCTACATCCACTGCGTTCCCTTCATCTACCAGGCTTGTAATTCTGTCAACAGTATAAAACATCAAACATTAAAAACTTCCCTAAACAAGGCTTCCTTCAGATTTCTTCTACAAGTCAAATCGTTGTTTATTTACTTGACATCTAGCACTCTCCTGCCCTGGCCCTGCTCCCACGGTGGAGCCTACCTCTTTCTGAATCTGAGCAACTTTATCTGCAAAAAAAAAACCTTTGCAAAATCATTGCAGGCGATCTTGGGGTCCTTATCAGGCCCCAGTGACACAGGTGGTTCGGTTAAATTGCAAACCACCTGAAAGGGTCTCCTGTTGCTGTTTTCTGCAGATGCAATAGAGGGGTGAAGAAGGTCCTCTTCGCCATCACTATTGCCATTTGGTAGGCTCAACATTGAGCTCTAACCTGTGTCCGGTCAGATTCAGAGTGAGTTTTCCACCACCGGCACTCTAGCCATCTCAGCTATTGTTTCATGGCCCTCAGCTCCAGGGACAACCACGGTGCTGTCCAGGCTCCATGAAATCGGAGAGGGCGCTTCAGAGCCTGACAGTCAATAGCCCTGGTTAACTCCGCATTCCAGTGAATCAGCTGAAAGGCCATCAACATGGGATAAAACGTCCCCTACCACTCTCTGGAAACCAGTTGGATCCATTAAGTGGGGGTGGGGACCATCTGAATCACTCCCACCTCCCTGCAAAGGGGAAGGGTCGCGGAGAAGTCCAGTTGCTCCAGGAAGTGATCTGACCATGACACTATTCACTAATATATGCATCTTCTTGTACACTTTAAACTAGAATGTCTATTTTTGCACCTGTTATTTGGCTGGAGAAATGCAAGTTTTGAAGGCTGGCTGTGTTTCAATTCACATCTTGTTTCACAAAGTATGAATTAGATAAGTACTCCTTTAAATGTGAACTGAATCAAACACCCACACACTTGTATTGAGCAAGGAAAGCGTAGGTACTGGATTCCACCCTGTCTCCTTTTTCCTTCATCTTAATAAAACTTTATGCGACTTAACATCAGTAATTTTGGGCGGTGTCTTTAAGGGACGACTTGGGAAAGATGACGTACAGCACCATGTGCATTAAGGAGAGCCTTCGGCTTTATCCTCCGGTACCTCTTATAGCACGAGAACTGAATTCTCCTGTGACTTTTGCTGATGGACGAACCTTACCAAAAGGTAGGTTTCCCCTCTCTCCCTTCTGCAGACTTCCTTTGAACCCGTCCCTTCCTCTGGCACCTTCATTCTTACCCTGTCTTCACTATTTAATTCCACCTTCCATAAAAGGTGGCTAACCTTTTATGGACTACATTGTGTGTCTCTTTTCTCCGCAGGCTTTCTAACTGCATTGGATATTTATGGTCTTCACAGAAATCCTGAGGTTTGGGACAAACCTGAGGTATGATGACAATAATAATAATAATAATAATAATAATAATAATAATAATAATAATAATAATTTTTATTATTTACAACCCGCCTATCTGGCTGGGTTTCCCCGCCACTCTGGGCAGCTTCCAACATATATAAAAACATAATAAAAACATCAAGCATTAAAAACCCACTACAGGGATTTCTTCAGATGTCTTCTAAAAGTTGTGTCATTCTTTATCTCCTTGACATCTGAAGGGAGGGTGTTCCACAGGGTGGATGCCACCACCAAGAAGGCCCTCTGTCTGGTTCCCTGTAACCTCACATCTTGCAGTGAGGGAACCACCAGAAGGCACTTGGAGCTGGACCTCAGTGTCCATACAGAACGATGGGGATGGACATACTTTGCTTTTCTGTGCACCTTGAGACTTCCATCTTTCTTTTTGCGCGAGTGGATGTGCTTAACTCAAAAGTGAAGGGAATACTTGGCGTTCCCTTTATTCGAAGGGCTTCTAGCTCTGATATTGATCACTGGGCAGACTGTGTGGCGCAGTGGTTAGAGTGATAAATGTAATGGGGCAGACCCAGGTTCAAATCTCTGCTTGGCCATGAAGCTCAGTGTGTGACTTTGGGCCAGTCGCTATCGCTCAGACTGGCAATAAAATGCAGGGGAGATCTCATCTGAGCTCCTTGGAGGGAAAGTGGGATATTGTCAAATGAAATGAATAAAGTTCCAGGTTCAACGCCTGCCTTCTTCTTTCAAAGCAGGGATGAGGAGCATGGGGCCCTACAGACTGCTGTTGGATTGAAATTCTCACAGTCTCTGATCACATTGGCCATTCTGGGTGGGGCTGGTGGGAGCTGGAGGCTAGCAAGAAGAGTTTGGATTTGATATCCCGCTTTATCACTACCCGAAGGAGTCTCAAAGCGGCTAAGAATCTCCTTTCCCTTCCTCCCCCACAACAAACACTCTGTGAGGTGAGTGAGGCTGAGAGACTTCAGAGAAGTGTGACTAGCCCAAGGTCACCTAGCAGCTGCATGTGGAGGAGCGGGGAAGCGAACCCGGTTCATCACATTACGAATCTACCGCTCTTAACCACTACACCACGCTGGCTCTCTGGATAGCAACATCTGGATAGGCTCCCCATTACTGATCCAGAGGATCTCAGCCCAAGAGGGCTGTGGAAAAGCCCTGCTAGTTTCTTCTGCCAGTCAGCATAGATAATACTGGGATAGATAAGCCAAAGGAATGACTTGATATAAAGCAGATATGCTCTCTAGATTCCACATCATTCTTTGCAGTGTCCATACAGAACGATGGGGATGGAGACACTGGGCCAAGGCTGTTTAGGGCTTTAAAGGTCAGCACCAACACTTTGAATTGTGCTCGGAAACATACTGGGAGCCAATGTATGTTATATGGTCTCGGCGGTCACTCCCAGTCACCAGTCTAGCTGCCGCATTCTGGATTAGTTGTAGTTTCTGGGTCACCTTCAAAGGTAGCCCCACGTAGAGCGCATTGCAGTAGTCCAAGCGGGAGATAACTACAGCATGCACCACTCTGGTGAGACAGTCCGCGGGCAGGTAGGGTCTCAGCCTGTGTACCAGATGGAGCTGATAAACAGCTGCCCCAGACACAGAATTAACCTCCATGGACAGCTGTGAGTCCAAAATGACTCCCAGGCTGTGCACCTGGTCCTTCAGGGGCACAATCACCCCATTCAGGACCAGGGAGTCCTCCACCCACCCCCTGTCCCCCCAAAACAGTACTTCTGTCTTGTCAGGATTCAACCTCAATCTGTTAGCCGCCATCCATCCTCCAACCGCCTCCAGGCACTCACACAGGACCTTCACCGCCTTCACTGGTTCTGATTTAAAAGAGAGGTAGAGCTGGGTATCATCCACATACTGATGAACACCCAGCCCAAACCCCTGATGATCTCTTCCAGCAGCATCATATAGATGTTAAATAGCATGGGGGAGAGGACAGAACCCTGTGGCACCTCACAAGTGAGAGTCCAGGGGTCCGAACACTCATTCCCCAGTACCACTTTCTGAACACGGCCCAGGAGGAAGGAGCGGAACCACTGCATAACAGTGCCCCCAGGATAAATGATAAAAGGATAAAGGGCTAAACAAGACCTTTCTGGTGAGACTGATGTTTTTGGAGTAAAGGATAGCAGAGAACATCAGAACAATTGATAGGAGCACAAAAAATTATTTAAGGAAGAAAGGCCAAACGATTACCAAGTTCATTGTCACACCGACACTGCTACAAGTGTCTAGAGCTGGATCTAGACGCATCAAAGAAGAGATTCAGTTAAACATGTTGTATACTTCACACAGGGAATTCTCATTTGCGAAAGACAGGACTACACAGCGCCATCTGGTGTCACAGTGTTATAATGCATATAAAGCGCTTTATCTTTACAAATGTAGCTAAGTCCTAGATGTGTTGATTTATCTCAATGATTTGTTTTACTAGCTTGTTGCTTGTTTTAATTTAGCTCCTCTACAAGCATTCCAATTTGCATGGGAGTTTTATCCCAACTTTTTCCAACTTGTTCCCCTTCAGATGTTTGGGCTACAGCTTATTGACCACGAGCCTTGTGTGGGGTGATGAAAGTTCTGGTCCAGCAATATCTGGAGGGCAACAAGCTGAGCAAGGCTGATTTAGTCCATTGCCTCTTATCAATGGCCTAATGCTAAACCATCTATCCCCTGATATGGTATTAGGTGCGGAGCAGAAACGTATAAGCACAACTGATGGCTGAGTTTCCCCATGACGATAATACCAGTTCCACAGTATGTGCATGAGAGAGAGACTTCCATGGGTGTGTGTGCGGGTGTATGGGTGTGTGTGTGTGCTTATAGAGCTAAATTCCTTCTCATCTCTATACCATGACTCTGATCCAAATCCCTTCCCTGCCAGCTGCTGTTAGCAAAAAGAAAAAAATTAGATATCTCTGAATACAACTCTGATATCAGACCTGGTTCTTCCCTGTATAGAATTGGTTAAGAACAGAATGATGAACATATGAGTTAATTAACTATAGGGACATTTATTCAAAATAATAATAATAATAATAATAATAATAATAATAATAATAATAATTTATTATTTATACCCCGCCCATCTGGCTGAGTTTCCCCAGCCACTCTGGGCGGATTCCAATCAAGTGTTAAAAACAATACAGCGTTAAACATTAAAAACTTCCCTAAACAGGGCTGCCTTCAGATGTCTTTTAAAGAGAAGATAGCTGCTTATTTCCTTCACATCTGAAGGGAGTGCGTTCCACAGGGCGGGTGCCACTACCAAGAAGGCCCTCTGTCTGGTTCCCTGTAACCTCACTTCTCGCAATGAGGGAACCACCAGAAGGCCCTTGGTGTTGGATCTCAGTGTCCGGGCTGAACGATGGGGGTGGAGACGCTCCTTCAGGTATACAGGACCGATGCCGTTTAGGGCTTTAAAGGTCAGCACCAACACTTTGAATTGTGCTTGGAAACGTACTGGGAGCCAATGCAGATCTTTCAGGACCGGTGTTATGTGTCCCGGCGGCCACTCCCTGTCACCAGTCTAGCTGCCGCATTCTGGATTAATTGCAGATTCCGGGTCACCTTCAAAGGTAGCCCCACATAGAGCACATTGCAGTAGTCCAAGTGGGAGATAACTACAGCATGCACCACTCTGGCAAGACAGTCCGCAGGCAGGTAGGGTCTCAGCCTGTGTACCAGATGGAGCTGATAAACAGCTGCCCCGGACACAGAATTAACCTCCATGGACAGCTGTGAGTCCTTAATGACTCCCAGGCTGCACACCTGGTCTTTCAGGGGTACAGTTACCCCATTCAGGACCAGGGAGTCCCCCACACCCACACGCCCCCTGTCCCCCCAAAACAGTACTTCTGTCTTGTCGGGATTCAACCTCAATCTGTTAGCCGCCATCCATCCTCCAACTGCCTCCAGGCACTCACACAGGACCTTCACTGCCTTCACTGGTTCTGATTTAAAAGAGAGGTACAGCTGGGTATCATCTGCATACTGATGAACACCCAGCCCAAACCCCCTGATGATCTCTCCCAGCGGCTTCATATAGATATTAAAAAGCATGGGGGAGAGGACGGAACCCTGAGGCACCCCACAAGTGAGAGCCCAGGGATCTGAACACTCATCCCCCAACACCACTTTCTGGACACGGCCCAGGAGAAAGGAGCGGAACCACTGTATAACAGTGCCCCCAGCTTCCAGCACCTCTAGACCGTCCAGAAAGATGCTATTGTCGATGGTGTCAAAGGCCGCTGAGATATCCAGCAGAACTAGGAAACAGCTCTCACCTTTGTCCCTAGCCCATCGGAGATCATCGACCAGCGCGACCAAGGCAGTTTCAGTCCCATGGTGAGGCCTGAATCCCGACTGGAAGGGATCCAAATGGTCCACATCCTCCAGGCGTGCTTGGAGTTGTTCAGCAACCACCCGCTCAGTCACCTTGCCCAAGAATGGAAGATTTGAGACTGGGCGATAGTTGGCCATAATGGCTGGGTCTAAAGATGTTTTTTTAAGAAGCGGTTTAATGACCGCCTCTTTCAGCGGGTCTGGGAAGGCTCCCTCGCAGAGCATTCACAGCCAGGATGGACAAGGATCAAGAAGACAGGTGGTTGGTTTCACTCGTCCAAGCAGCCTGTCCACATCCTCGTAGGTAACAGATTGAAATTGATCCCATATAACATGACTAGACAGGACTCTAGCACTCTCCCGCCCTGGCCCTGCTCCCAGGGTGGAGTCTACCTCCTTCCGAATCTGAGCGACTTTATCTGCAAAAATCTTTGCAAAAGCATTGCAGGAGATCTTGGGGTCCCTACCCGGCCCTGATGATGAAGGTGGTTCCGATAGATTACGAACCACCTGAAAGAGTCTCCTGCTTCTGTTTTTACAATACAGTTACAATACAGTGGTACCTCAGGTTACAGACACTTCAGGTTACAGACGCTTCAGGTTACAGACTCTGCTAACCCAGAAATAGTACCTCAGGTTAAGAACTTTACTTTAGGATGAGAACAGAAATAGTGCAGCGGCAGCGGGAGGCCCCATTAGCTAAAGTTGTAGCTCAGGTTAAGAACATTTTCAGGTTAAGAATGGACCTCCAGAACGAATTAAGTCCTTAACCCGAGGTACCACTGTACAATACATTTTCAATTAACATATCCTCTCCATACACACCTCTCTGATGATGGTGGCATTAAAATACCCTGTTCTTCTTCAATAAAAGAGAAAAGGGGAGATCAGATCATGTCAAATGTATCTTTTTTTGGAGATGCCTTTGATTAATCACTCATGGTATGTGAAGCATTCTGATAGAGCAATGCCCCAGATGTTATTAACACAAGCCTCTATTGTTAACTTTAGAAGTTTCCTTCCATCATTGGACAATAACTGGTCTGGCTATTGTGAACAGGAAGGAAATTAATTCTTTAGATTTACTTTGCCTTTCTAAATGTTCTTTCAAAGATGGAAGCATAGCAATTGGATCTTGCACCATTATCCTATACAGAACTAAGCGCCATTCTCAATGTGGCATCCACAAACGTATTATGTTCAACATTTCCTGTTTTCACTCCCTTCACATGGGCATCTGCATGTAGTTGTATAGCTAAGATCCCCATTGGCACTGCAAATAGAAGTGGCGACAGAGAGCATCCTTGACAGGTGCCCATGCTGAGGTTTATTGGAGCAGCATTGTATTCATTTACTGTAATTATAGTTGAAGATTTTGAATAAATTTGTTGAACCATGTGAAGAATTTCTTTTCCAAATTGTAATTTAGAATGTAAGAGTTTCAAATACGACCATTCAACACTATCAAATGCTTTAAAGGCATCAAGTGAAATTAATGTCCTTGGAACATTTTGTAGCTGCAAGTCATAGATTACATTGAGTCTGCTATATTCCTTAATCTTAATCTCTTAAGCATCACAGCTGTGAATAGTTTCGCGTCTACATTTATTAAAGCAATCAGCCTATATGAATCATGTAAGGTGGAGTCTTTCTCGGGCTTCAATATCGAAGTTAATTTTGATGTGTGTCAAGCTTGCCCACCCTCTAGCACTGAGTTAAAGAGCTTAGTTAGCCATGGTTACAATTCTACTTTAAAAACATTATACTATTCTCCTGGGAGTCCATCAGGCCCTGGAAACGTTCCTGGTTTTAATTTTTTAATTGCTTCTTGTACTTCCTCTAAAGATATTGGTTGATTTATGTAATTTCTGTGCCCCTCTGACAATGGTTTAATAGTTACTTTTGAGAGGTAATATTCTATTGATGCTTGTGATGGATTGTCAAAAGAGTACATAGGAATCGTAATTCAGAACGCGTTCCTAATCCAGAATAGGATTTATGAAAGTGTTCTGCCAAAATTCCACATGCACACCTGGACTGGTATTTGCCATCTAAAGTGCTGTTTACATAAACTGTATCCGTTTCCCTCTCCATTCAAAGTGCAACTTCAGGAGCTACATCAGCACCACAGCGGGGGGGGGGGGAGGTTAGCATTTCCCTCCTAACCCCTGCAGGTCAGTTGCTGGTCAGACATGGACACCCCAATGGCTGTGTACAGTTTTAATAACATGTACACTAATGTAATTAACATCATGTCTCATTTGGCCCAGGCATTTATTGATGTGAAGGAATTTTCCTTCAGATTACATTGGGGGGGGGGACATATTGCTAAGCGTGCAATCCCATAATCCTATAAGGAACTAAGCCCCATGGAATTCAATGGGCATTATGACCTGGTAAGTGGGTATAGAACAGTATTCTTTTTTGTGAATGCCCCTTTTTCCTTTAGCTCTTTAAGCCACTATATCAGTTGCCATTCTAATCCAAAATTCCATGACTTATTTTCTGTTGTAGGAATTTAATCCTCTAAGATTCTCCACAGAGAATTCAAAGCATCGCCACCCATATGCTTTCTTGCCTTTTGCAACAGGGTCAAGGTAAATATATTCTCACTCTATACTTTGCACTGTTCCCTCCATAAAAGGAGACTTTGACATTAATCTTCCATAAAAGACACAACTGTGTTCAAGGCTTATAAAATTGTGGATGAGTCCGAACACTATTGGATGCCCAATATTTTCAGATCTATGCAAATCAATACCTGGATTCACTTTTTAGGATTAATATTTACTCTGCCTAAATCAGGCATAGGCAAACTCGGCCCTCCCCGATGTTTTGGGACTACAACTCCTATGATCCCTGACCACTGGTCGTGTTAGTTAGGGATCATGGGAGTTGTAGTCCCAAAACATCTGGAGGGCCGAGTTTGCCTACGCCTGGCCTAAGTACATTTAATTATTTTTCAATTTATAACTTTTATGTATCAGCTGCTTCCTAGCTGAACCTCTCAGAACAGCTTTGGAATTAAAACACTGAAATGCTAGATAAAAATATGCAATGAACATAATTGACAATGCATATTACAGCAAAGCAGAACAAATCGCCAGCATAAAATGATATATACTCAAATGCCTAAAAGGGTGGGGCATAGATAGGACAACAAAGATGGTGACAGACATTAATTTCTGAGAAGGGAAACCTAAAAGTGAAGGAGCAACAACAGAAAAGGCCCTGATTGGACCATCTACAGAATACTCTTCTGTTCATAATGTAATTGTTAAGTTGTGGGCGAACATATCAGACGACACAGCGATTCTTCCAAAGCAGCTCTTTATTTGTAAGCTGGAACAGAACTGAACTGAGGAGCAGTGGCGTAGCGTGGGGGGTGCAGGGGGGGCCGGGCGCACCGGGCGCAACATCTGGGGGTTAGGGTTAGGGCGCGCAAATCCACGGGTTAGGGGGCGCAAATCCATGGGTTAGGGGGCGCAAATTACTTGCCTTGCCCCGGGTGCTGACAACCCACGCTACGCCACTGCTGAGGAGCTCAGTCAGCCTGCTTATATAGAGCTCCACTAGAATGCAACAGTAACCATTTTCTGTAACTAGCCCATCACTGAATGTCACTTTCGATCCTTCGTTTGCATACAAACTATCCAACCACTGAACGTCACTTTCGATCCTTCATTTGCATAACTATCTACAGTATCCCCCTGCTGGCCCAGGGTGAGAACTTCAGTACATAACAGTAATGTTGCCCTTCATTCTACTCAGGAACTGCATTGGACAACAGTTTGCCATGAATGAGATGAAGGTTGCTCTTGCCCTGACACTCCTGCACTTTGAGCTTTTGCCTGATCCTGCCAACCTCCCGATTCCAATGCTGCAAATTGTCATCCAGCCCATGAATGGGATATATCTGAAGCTGAAAGATCTCCGCTGATGCTTGCTATTTCCACGGTAGTAATGTTTGCTTCAGGACTATCAATTCCTGCCAATAAATATTGGAAGGCCATGAATATTAATATTATGCAGTGTACTTCTGCTTTTCTTCTGAAGGGAATTATTGTCCTCTCTAGGCATACAGAAGCTGGTTCAAAATACAGCACCATTTCCAAATATAGATTCTTTCAGTATTTTTAGTCAGCTATTACTGCAATAAAAACGTTCAGTAATCACTTTTATGTTCTCAACCCAACAAGCTTCCTTTAACCTACCAGGTCATATTCAGAATAGAATCATTGAAATAAATGAACCGGATTAACTTAAGTCCACAACTTGCAAGATATTTCCTTTGAGTATCACTTATTTGGGTTCTTTCTTTTGTCCATTACACTTTAATATTCTAATTAAGAACATTATGTATGGGGCATGGGCTGTCACCTTCATTTGGGGGGGCCGGACTTAGGACAGTGGCCATATTCCTACTGTTAATCATGAAAACACAGTATGTGGTCATGAATGAATCCCCTTCTGTAACATTTAAAATAAGCTACCTTCTTGGAAAAACTCACACAGTGGCAAATAATGACAACTATAAAATTTCCTTTTCCTGTGACCTCCTCAAGCAGTGATAGACTAGGAGTTATCTTAGCTCAACAGCAGCTTTCTTCTTCTCAGTCCTATCAGAATAGTTGAGCAAATAGCTACCAGAAGATGGTAGCAAATCATTATCCAGCCAAGACCCTGTTAATTATTTTAGACAAGTATTTGCCCCTGGCAGATGGGATGTTGGGATAGAGGATATTTAATTGTCATGAATTCTTTGCTACCTTGCTGTGATTTTATGGCAAACTATCTCCTGTGCCTATTGAACCTGTCTACTGCAGAGCTTCGGTTATTTACAAATATGCCTGGATTTTAACTTTTTATATGTTTTACATTGTCGACTTTGGGGGTTGTTCTTTTAATAAAACAAAGTATGCATCAGTCTTTTTAATAATAAATAGATCATAACTATTCTGTACAGGGAGAAATCTTGATCTTTTGGACTTTCTCATGTGTTGTAGTCCTTAAGTGGGTTCTCTATTGGTAGGAGAAAATAACAGAGACCAACCAGAGAATATTGAGAAGCAAAGCAGCTAGTAAGCCTGATCTTTATTAAAGCTGTTGCAACAGGGTGCTCTGCTCACATGCCGGATGACAGAGGAGGACTCAGAACAAAGGTGTGCCTGCCCTTATATAGACATTTTAAATTCCCTGCCCTGGAGCTCAAGACCACCCTCTCCATACATCATACATACATCACAGAAGGGGTGTAACCCAAGACCACCCTCCACAAACATCATATCTACATCACAGAAAAGGTGGTCTACAACAGAAATTTGAATGTTGTTGTTTTTCCTGTCTGCCAGGTTATCTGATAATGCCTTATCTGATTGTCTTTCCTGGTAGTCTGCCCATTCTTTTGAAATGGTGATTACCCAATTCCTGTAACAAGGAAGGTTTTTTTCACCTCCTCCCTCCTTGCAGAGAAACATTTGGTCGGCTTGGGAGTCAAAATGGTTTCAGGACTGTCTTCCTGTGCTGCTTCAGACATGTGGTTTATATTTTTATGTACGTGTTTGCTTGGTATATTTATGAACATTTATTATATATCTAAGACCTCAAAATTCTTATTACACATGCCCCCTCCTTTTGCTGATCTGACACGAACTGTTCTGTGGGAAGGGTCCTGAAGATTTTTAAATATGCAACAAATATTTGTTGAAGTTATTAAATGTGTAATTTAATTGTAAGCCTTCTTAGAAATATTTATTTCCTGAACTATGGAATATAAATTGCTGTGATAAGAGAAGAATGTAATAAATCTAGAAGTTGCAAATAAGAAAAAATATCATATTGACTTCTTGTATAACTTATGGAAATATATTAACCATTTTTTTAAAAGGTTAACCAGGCAATTTAAATTTACACACACTACCATATAAATAAAACAACAATTTTATAGAAAAGGAGACACTTTTTAGATATAAGCCATGTATTTTTTCCTTTCTTGAGCTAACCTACCCTCAGCTGGGAGCCCATTGCATGCAGTGCTTCTTAGGGTGGCTTAGTCCAGGAGCAGGGCCTTGAAGAGCTCCAAGCTGCTAACTTCCTCCAACCAAACCTAGAGCAGTGCTCTTTTCCACCTTGGGTAGCCAGAAGTTGTGGGACTGCAACTCCCATCATCCTTGACCATTGACTAAGATGGTGGAAGATTATGGGATTTGTGATCCAACATCATCTGGGGATCCAAGGTGGAAGTAGGTTGAAACTAGGCACTCTGTCCTCATGAAAATCCATAATATTAGTGCCAATTTTTTCCTAGCATACAAATGTATGTAATTTTGTCTAATATGTATATTTTTGCAAAGCAATGTCATTAATAGAATGTGTTGTTCAGTTTCATTTTCACAAATACATGCATTTTTATGCACAATTTACTTCAGTGTATGTTGGAGAATTACACCACAAAATTCGGAGAAGGGCAAATTTTGAATAATGCGCTTTGTTTCTTGTATCATTTCAGAGATTGTGTATTGTTTTTTAAAAAAAATTTTTTTTAAGGAAATTGAATCAAATAGGTCCCCTATCACTATTGGGGAATTTGCAGCTACTGGTATAAAGACTTCAGTTCCTGAGGGGAGACTGGTTCATGGGATGCCTCTGGCTTGATAGACCCTTTTCCAGAAGTATAAGATTCAGTCCATGCAGATGATGGGGGAAGCCAACTCAAGCAGGGGTTGGCTGACAACATTTATTCAAACTGGAAGAAGTTGCCGTTTCTCAGTAGAAACAAAAGTTGAACAAAATATGAGGCAAATGTAAAAGCCAAAGAATATCTTCTTCCCTATGAGAAGTTTAAAATCTGCCTCAAATGTCCTTCTCTGAGGCTACTGTGATACAGTGGTACCTTGGTTTGCGATCATTTTGGATTACAACCATGTCAAACCTGGAAGTGTGTGTACCTTTTTTTGGATTACAACCCCACATTTTTGGGGGGGATTGCAACCAATTTTGGGGGGGGAGGCACCATTGACGAAAGCGCGTCTTGGATTAAAACCTGTTTTGATTTACAACCGGACCTCCAGAACGGATTATGGTTGTAAACCAAGGTACCATTGTATCTTCTTTGAATATCAGGTAATTCTGGATGTACTAGATAGTTCCCCTGATAAAATATTTAAGCACCCTGCATGCGGCTAGTAAAACAACATTTCCCAATAACAGTGATCTGGATCCAGCTCTGAAGGGGGGAAAAGGTGAGGATAGAGCGCCCGCAGGGCGAAACCAACCAGAGCAGTTGGGTGGAGTGTAGGAATGAAAATCACGACAGACGAGTAGCAGGTGTCATGTGAGAGGCGTCTGCCGGTGCAAGCCCCGGGAACTCTCTTTTATTGAATATTACAAACATTGCCACAGGTGTGCTTGTGGCTGATTGGTTGATACAAACACAAAGCAACTTGTTGCTGATTGGTTAACAAGGCGGGAATTGCATATAAACATTAATCACCTATAGATTAAAGGCTGGGAAACGGAGCTGAAACTAGATAGGCGTGAAACCTCCTAATTAAATTATAACTAAAGATTGATATAGCATGACTAAAACAATTACTAATGATTGACCATAACATGAAAGAATATAATAATCGAATTCCGTAGATGTGGTCAGCTATGCATTGAGAACAGGTCATCATGAACTTAAGATGAACTGAGCAATGAGGGAATGTCTTGGTATTTGGAACAGGTTTGTACAGTGTGTGCAGAAGAAGAGAAAAGCTTATAAGCGAGACTTCCCAGAATGCCAGAGAAAAGAAGCAAGACTTCCCAGAATGCCACAGTTATGTGCAGAAGCAGAATTTCCCTTCAGTGGAGGTTCAAACAGTTCCCATATAACTACAGCACCAGAGGCCACAAAGTTTTTCTGGCATGTTGAGACAGCACTGTCAACAGAACCAGAAACCTTTCAGGACTTATTCTCGATAGTGAGCAAAACAAAGCAGTGGGCAGCTGGCAATGGAGAATCTAATCAATTCCTTGTGGTCCTGGCTCCCCAGGAGTTTCTCTCAGTTTTTCTATTGGACTGTGGTGTTGATCTTCACATGTGTGGCTCTGAAAGCCATCCAGGTATTTCAGACAAGGCAGAAACTGATCAAGGGTTTTAGAAATTTCCCAGGACCTCCCAGCCACTGGCTATATGGCCATGTCCTCATGGTAAGGTATTCTCTGACTTTCCTAGAGAGATGTTTTGTATGGAAGCATAGAAGGACTAACCATAAACAAAGATAAATCTGGTTTTTGTTGTTGTTGGCATGCAAAGACTACATCAGGAACACAGAATGATAGATGACATCAGTGAGTTTAAACTTTATGGTGTGACACACATTAAATACTTTCTTGAGCATTGGTTCCAATTCATATTGTGCGATCAGAGGAATCCAGCGCAGCGTTTTCTCATCTTCATGTCACATTCTGAGAGGATATTTGTCTCCTTCTTTGGAGGTCTTTAAGCAGAGGCTTGACAACCATACGTCAGGAGTGCTCTGATGGTGTTTCCTGCTTGGCAGGGGGTTGGACTCGATGGCCCTTGTGGTCTATTCCAACTCTATGATTCTATGACTCTATGATTCTATGATATTTTCTATCAAATGTGCCGCTTCATTAATGTTGTTGTCTGTTTGCACCAGCAAGGCAGCTGGCTTGGGGACGGCTGTGCTGGTTCAGTAGACTGCACATGATTGGACAGTTGGAACTTTATATTTGATGGGCTATGCTGCCTTGCAATGTGGCTGGCCCAGGAATGTAGAATGGCCAGCCTCTGGGACGTAACTCCTGGCACTTTGTGAATGGTGGGCTGTCAGCAAGGGGCTGCAACCACCCCCCATCCAAAGCAGGGTAAGTTGCAAAGCTCTCCAACCCTGTGCGAAGCCAATAGCTATGGTGTAAAAGAACATACTTGACCAGACAAGAATCTAAGGAAGAAAATGGCCACAACTTTACATTTGATGGGCTATCCTGCCCTGCCATGTAGCCAGCTGGGGAATATAGAATGGCTAGCATCTGGGACATGACTCCTGGCACCTTGTGAATGTAGGGATGCCCATAAGGGGCTGCAACAGGGAAAGCAGGGTAAGTGGCCATTGTGGGCCCAGTTATAGTACACTCCACCCCTGTATGAAGCCAATAGCTATGGTCTACAGGAACAAACCTGACAAGGCAAGAATCCGGGGGTGGTGGTGGTGGTGGCCACAACTTTATTGATTACAGGTGTAGGTAGCTCAGGAGGGCTTTAGGGCAGAAATTTTGAACAGGGTAACGCCATGTATTGTGGCCTCCCCAAGTTGATAATCTGTAGTCCCACATTCAATACTCCCCGGCTGCCATATTTGGCATTCAACTTTGCATTTGTGATGGATCTGTTTCTCGTATCCAATGTTACCTAAAACTGGGGAAAGATTAGCAGATTTGCATCCACAAAGGAGCATAATCAAACATAAACTTTATATAATTACTGTACAATTTGGTGGCTGTTTTTTCTTCTTGACATTTGAGTTCAATGGCTTATTCATGCTTAACCAGTGTATGTTCTTCTCCATCTGAGAGGTTGAAATGAAATTGATAAGGGGAGGCCAAAGCAGAGCAGAAAGAAAGCAGGTTTAAAAACTGATTAATGATTCAGATGAAACCTGAGGGGAAAACAGCTTGTAAAGTTAAATAAACAAGAATTCCTAGCCCTACCCTTGCTCATCCAAACCTGCCCCTTTTTACTGCCCCTGTGGGAGAAGGTATGAAAGCCATTTAATGACAGCTCCCCGGTGTGCCAAGTTTCCTGGATGAGAATAATATCAAAGCCAGTTAAGAAGTTACAAATAAGAAAAATTATAATATTGCCTTCTTGTACACCTTATGGATATGTATTAACCTTTTTTAAAAAAAGGTTAACTAAGCAATCTAAATCTGCAAACACTACCACATGAATAAAACAATAATTTTATAGTAAAGGAGAAACTTTTTAGATATTTTAGATATTTTTCCTTTCTTGAGCTAACCTAACCCCAGCTGGGAGCCCATTGCATGCACTGCTTCTTAGGGTGGCTTAGTCCAGTAGCAGGGCCTTGAAGAGCTCCAAGCTGCTAACTTCCTTCAACCAAACCTAGAGCAGTGCTCTTTTCCACCTTGGGTAGCCAGAAGTTGTTGGACTACAACTCCCATCATCCTTGACCATTGAATAAGTT